GTTTTCATGGTTTTTAAAAGATGCTTAATTGTGGTCCTGTGATCAGCATTTTGGGAGTTTATTCATTAGTCCAAATCACAGGCTGGTGGCCTAATCTGCAGGAGGGGTGGGGGAACTCTTTACCGAAATTTTTTAGTGGGACTATTTATTACTCAAGAGTGTAAACTCCTCAAAGCCAAGAAACTTAATGTTATGGCCGAAACTCCTCCCAGCCGTCTGATGCGATGCCCCCACATGGAAGCTCTAGGCCTGTAGGCCTTATGGATTGAAAACGGACAGCCGTTTCTTTGAGTTTGGGGACTTTTGATGGTCATGCTACTTTTGGTTTCACTCAGACCTTTTGTTAGTAGCCTGCTTTCTGCAGACGAGCATGCACCAAATTCAGGAGTCCGTGCAGAAGGGCGCCGTGGGCAGCAGCGGCAGCACAGACGTCCACGAGGAAAACTAGTGATGATCTGAGGTTTGCATTTGCCCTACACAGAAATTTAGGAGTTTCTGAATCAAGCTTAATGTTTACAGTTTCTGAATAGCCATCTTGCAGTGTATAGTTTAAGTATCCCGCATTCAGTTTTCTCATTATCTGCAAGCTCAAACTTATTTTTAAGGTTTCTGTACAAGTCAACTGCTGTAAAGATATATATTTTGGGGTCAGTTTTTTTCCTTCATTAACTTGGTGGTAGAAAAATATATATGCTTAGCAATCCTTAAATTAAAGCCATGTTTTATATATAAGTCAGGTAACATTGGTATATAGATGAGAATGCAATTAAACCTGATGAGAATCTACTTGAGGAGAATATAGAAAGTGTCTCTAAAAGAGATACTTACTCCCTGGTTTATTGCATCACAACTTATGTTTGAGGTTACCTCAACTTGTTTTAAAGATTTTGTTTTGTGAATTTGTACTGTATATTTGAGTAACTGTTAAGCTTTTGTTTTATTTAAAATTGTTTAACATGTACCATGTACATGTCATTACTATATTTCAATGCATCATGCTTGTAACAGGCATTTCATTTATAATAAGAATGAGTTATTCATTTGTAAGCTGTTCCGTAATTTATCTACTATTCCTAAATTGGCATAATGTTAGATATCTATTTTGAATCACCTTTTAATTACATGTCAGAATGCCTTAACTACCCTGACTTGACAAAACAGTTCTTTGGTAGAGGAGACTGGGCGGGGAGGGGGTTGGTGGAGGGAGACTGTTTAAATGACGAGACCCCATCGAGCTGTGATAAAACATGGAAGCCAGAGTGGCAAGTGGCGGGGTATTTATTTTGCACAAACTATTTGCAGTCTCTGTATACTTAGAGAGTAAAGAAAGTTGCATCCAGAGGGTTTTGTTTGAAGGAGTATATTTATACTTGGGCTGACAACATTTGTTCTTTTATTGGGTTTTTAATTATTTCTGGTCAGAAGTTTGTAGCCAATGATCTGGATATGTTTTGCATTAATTTTGCAATGCCTACATTTGGTTCCTGGTAGAGCTGGTTAAGTCAGTGGCTCTTCTCTGCTCTCATTTAACTCGTCAGACACAATCTTTGTAAAGCTAGATTGGTGGTGTTTTGACACAACTCATTTAATCAACTTACCTTTTTGAGAAATGATCGTAAGAAATCGACAATATATTTGTTCCAGTGACATTGAAATTAGTGGGACAAGAATTGAGTTTCACAGTGGAACTGACTTTGGACCGGGCCTGTAGATTTGTACACAAAACAGTCTCTCTTCTCCCAGTCCTTTTTGTGTTATGCACTTAATTTTATGACTGCCAGTGGTCAGTGGGAGGGCTGCTGACCAAGTAACTCTCCTTCCACTCTCAGTGTCAGAGGCTGTGTGGGACCCATGTGGAAATTTTCCAGGTCACAGGACCCAAGTCTCTGTGGGGTGTGACTTGAGATATGCCACTGGTGTGTCTGATTCTGAACTTGATGTGTGTGTCAATTGTATTTTAAGTTAAGCAGTATAAAGCAACACGCACACATGCCTCATGTAATGGACTTTTATAACAAAAGAGAATTTGGATTTCTAATTTACAAATGGCAAATTATTTATCCCTCTCTGGATGCACCAAAGACCAGTAAAGTTTATAGCTTTTCCATCTATATTTATAAAGCAATACTGTATTATAAAAAAATCAATATTTTTATCACATGCTTGAAATTTTTATTTTGTTCTGTTTTAAAATGTGCACTCTAAACATATCAGAACCTTATTTCTTCCTGTGAACTTAAGCTGCCTGCGCACAAAAGAAAATTTACCCAACAGATAAGCAGTAGAGTCCATAGGCTCTTAAAAACTGAAAGAAGAAATGAGGGGGGAATCAAGTTATTTGTCCTGAATTACTGTGCTGGCTTGACATGGTTGATGAGTACTATGTCACAAAAGAATCCATTCCAGGTGTGCACGTCTGGGGGTCAGGCTGTGTTTAGATTAGCAACTAGATTTCAAGCTTTGCATGATGGGAGTGTCTCTCCTATCAGCCACATTTGTTCTGGATAGAACAGTAGCCTTCAGGACCACCTTCAAGTACCACCAACCTACCACATCAAGTAACAAAGCAGGAATTGTAGGAATTTACTGAGTCAGTTTTGAGCATTTTAGAGATTGTAAACAAGATTGGCTAGAACGGTAATAAGTTCTTGGTTCCTTGTCACCTTATACCAGCTATCTTTGGTGGAAGCTACAGCATCCAATTTTCCTAGAAATGATACATTTTAGCATTTAACAAATTTTACAATACCAAAAAAACCCCAAAATCTGCTTATAAAACTGAAATTATAAAGCCAAAAAAATTAGATTTTATTCATAAAAAATTAAATCCTTTGTGAAATTGGACTTCTTGACTAAAAATTGACAATGTCCATGTCAAAATTTTAACTGTTAGCAGGTAGTTTGTGGCAAAGATAGCTAAGTAATGAAGCAGGTTTGAATTTGTGTATATTAATGAGCTGCTTTTTTCTGTTTTGAGACTATCATTATTTGTCTTACCGAAGAGGCAATGATCTGAATTGGATGTCTGAAATATAACTTATGCAGGAATAGTTCTGTAAATACATTTAAATAAACTGTAAAGATATTTAATAAATATAGTATTTATACTAATCTGTGTACTCCTTTTAATTTGAATAGTAACTAAGTAAAACACCAGCCCTTGACATTGAGTTTGTTGCTCTCTATCAAGTCCACATTTCCAAGCCCCTTAGTCAGCTAGTCTAGCAATGACTGTACTTTATAGCTATTATTTTATTCTTTTACTAGTTAATCTGCCTTAGTTCTTTTCACCAGCTGGTTTATTACATCAGTTTGACTTCCTCAAAAATTCATCAAAATGGACTGATAATTGAATGTAAAACATACCTGGTTTCCTAGCTTTTGTATCATCCACATGGTATGAAGTAAATCACAGAAAAATCTAGTGTCATTTAAATTTAGCATTCTGAAATCCAAAATTCTAAAATCTAAAATCCAAGTTAAATACAGTTTAATTAACAGTGTGACTATCTTTTACAGACTAGTGCTGCATCCAGGCAATTACCGATGGTGTCTCCAGGCATTAGCCCCCAGCCCCTTTCCCTGGGCAAACCAGAAAGTTTCTTCCTCAGCAAGGAGACTACAGTGACTCTCATAGGTCAGTGTGCTCCGGGTAGTCATCTGCAGTTGCTAGGGGCATGGGAAATTCAGTGTTCATCATCAGTGTAAGCATAAGATACATTATATCTTTAGCCTACATGTGAAAGGACCTCTTGAAGTTATGTGGGCATTGCCAGTTTCCACAAAAAGCTTGGTGAAAGCCCATTTTCATTCACTGAGGAACATTTTGGGATGAACTTGAGTTTTTATTAGGTTATTGTGGGTAGCTCTGACTCATGACTGAGCTACAAGAGCCAAATTCATTCTGGTTTTAGAAGTCTGTTCATAGTTATAAAGCTTACCAATCTATTCAGCCACCCTTGTTTATGAGTTCCACACAAAATCTAAAGTACAATTGCTTGCCAGTTAACGTTTCCGTGGGCTCTGATGGCTTCACAAAGACTTAAAACAATAAGATGTTACAGGAGTCTAGTTTGTCAGGTTGTAATTGACTATAGACAGGTTTGGGGGAGGGAGAGGCATGCAGCATAAGACATTACATAACAGTGTTTCTGTGCCAGATTTTTTAGTCTGTGCAGGTAACAAGCTGATTCTTAAAGAGGCAAAGAACAGAGGCTCTCATCGTCCACCTCATTCCACTCCAGACCCAGGCTGTCTTGACAGGGGAGGTTAGTGCTCTATGCCAGATCATACAGAAATAATTTTGGCATCGCTTCCATTAAATTCTTTTTTGCACCTCACTGTAGAAAATCCCATCTGAAAATCAGGATAATTTAAGGCTATCAAATAAAATTATACAATATATAAAAAGACTCCAAAGTGAAGGGGGTAGCTATATATTTTTATTGACCTTTTCCCCCCAGGAGTTAATTGTACTTAAAATATTAACAAAATATAAAAAGCAATGGACCAAAAGGTCATGATATTACATAAGGAAAGTCTGCATAGCTTTTACTATGTCTGAAAGCACCAAGACTCCACTGTTTGGAATCAAATACAAAGATGCCTGACTAGCAGTCACAGAATCCAAGGCAGTGTTGATGCACTGCAAACGGCTGCCGAAGAAAGTTCAATACCTTTATAAAATGGGCAGAGAGAGTGCTAAGAGCTCCAACGTGAACATGCATTGAACTGAAGAATTCTAACGAAACTTTTCCCTGCGCAGGGCCTGGGCAGAAAACTACCACCTCCTAAGTAGCATACTTAAAGCAAACATAGACTTGACAAGCAGCTATTCCCAGATAACAATTGTTGCATGAGATGATGTTTGGAAAAGCAGAAGCCCATCCTGCATCTGAAGGAAGTCCGAGACAATGTTTTTGTAGACTAGGTGTGAAAACAGGTTTGAGGTATGAGTCACTAAGTCGGAGGGTGGTGGGCAACTCAGCTGGCAGTAAGTGTTAGAACTTGGAAAAACTGTCCTTCATGTCCTCTTCGCTGTCACTTGCTGTTGCCAGACTGTCGAAAGGGTTGTCGCAGTGTTCTCGCAGGTCGGAAGAAACTGCTCCAAAGAACATGGAAGAAAACTGGAGGGAACAAGTAACTGCACTGTTGATTCAGAGTAAGAGTTCTCAGAAAATACTCCAGGGAGCAGCCCCATTTCGGAAACCTGTCCAGTGCGGTCTCCCTAACTTGGATGGTGCTGGTTCATGGAACCCCCAGAGCCTTGTAACTGGACCAACATGTTCTCTACACCAAAACCCCTCCCCAAAGACACGTGGTTTGGGGTCAGTAATCTGTTTCTGACTCCCCTGCCTGAGCCATTTAAACACACACCAGGGCTGTGGCAGACAAAGGCAGATTCCGCTCAACTCCCAACTTCCTTTTCCCTCCTCCTGCTACAGAAGCTACTGGTTCCAGCTAAAGCTTGTCCTTTCCTCCCTGCCGGCCTCACAGCCCCTCCCAGGCCTCCCTCCCCTTGATAGGAATATCAGCATTTTATAATAATGTCATCTTTAAAATATATGAAAAGCACCACCACCACCCTATTCCTCCCTCCCTGCCTCACCTCTGTTTTTCTCTACACTTATTTCCATTTTCTCATACTCCTATTTGGTCCTATCTAAAAAAGCTCCTGACCCCACCACGTCACAGAACTTCCTACTCTGGTCACCAAAACTCATCACATGTTTAAGCCAATGAGCATTTTCAGTGTTCATCCTGCTTGATACTCAGACACTCTTCTTGGACCTTCTTCCTGCCACACTCCCCTGGTCACTCTTAGACTTAGTGAGCTCAGCTCGCTTGCCCTTCTCTACACATGCTTTGAATCAGGGTTTCTCAGCCTCAGCACTACTGACGTTTGGGGCCTGAGGATTCTTTGTTGTGGGGACTGTACTGTGTGTCAGAGAATATGAGCAGCATCCCTGCCCTCAAACCAGTAAATGTGAGTTGCATCCTTGATACCTCATGCCCCTGAACCCCCAAACCAATCCATCACCAAGGCATGTTACTTTTACCTCTTCAATTAGCCGTCTACTTCAGCCACTTCTCTCCATCTCTAAGGAACCACCATCTCATCTCTTGGATGCTACAAGTGAGTTTCCATTCTTGCCTCACTGTATCCTATTTATGCAGTAGCTGCAGCTAAAAATTACCTTTTAAAAAATCAACTCTGTCGGCCCTCCCTCTTAAAACCCCTTGACTACTTTAAATGCCAAGATACTCCATATGGCTGTTTACATGGCCCACAGGGCCCTTCCGGTCTGACCCGGCGCTCATCAATTGCTCCTAGCTTCGCCCCATGCCCTTGTTTCCCCCACCTCTCTGCCCTCTAACCACCTGGCCAGCCTTCGGTTCCTTAAAACCACTGTGCTCCCTCCATCGCAGGGCCTTTGCACGCACCATATCCCCTGCCCCCAATATCCAATTTTACTGTCCTAAAAAGTCTTTTGTATAGTGACTTCTATAGTGACTTTTAGAAAAAATGTATCTCCTTCCAAATTTCTAATTCTGAGGAACTCATATTTCCAAATCAATAATAATAGCAATAGCAAAACAGACTTGAATGAAATATTAATGTAAATGCAAAATTGGGACTATCATCATTTCCCAATGATGCTTCTGTTTTCAAGAAATTGTGTTTATCTTCAATACATTTCATAAGGTTTAATGTTAGCATTCTGTGGAGCTTATCATCAATCTAGTAAAATGTTGGTATATTGATATGTTATTTACTGTGACTCCTCTATGAATGGGGATCTATGCTGTTTGGGGGATAAAATTTATATCATACCACTACGAATAAAGGGTTTCCCAAACAGATTTGAAATATAAAATTAGAGCCTGGCTGGTGTAGCTCTGTGGATTGAGTGCAGGCTGTGAACCAAAGGGTTGCCAGTTGATTCCTAGTCAGGGCACATGCCTGGGTTACAGGCCAAGTCCCTGGTTTGGGGCATGTGAGAGGCAACCACACATTATTTCTTTCCCCCTCTTTTTCCTTCCCTTCCCCTCTCTCTAAAAATAAATAAGTAAAATCTTTAATGAAATAAAATTAGAAGGACATTTATTTTGGAAAACAAATTGTACGACTAGCTTATTATGTGTATTTAAATATAAATATGTTCCCTGCCTGGTGTGGCTCAGTGGATTGAGTGCTGGCCTGCAAACCGAGAGGTGGCCGGTTGGATTCCCAGTCAGACACGTGTGTGGGTGGTGGGTTAGGTCCCCAGCTGGGGGTGAGTGTGAGGCAACTGAACAGTGTATTCCTCACACACTCATATTTCCCTCCCTGTGTTTCTCCCTCCCTTCCCTTCTCTAAAAGTAAATAAATAAAATCAGAAAAATGGAAGGTGACAAAAAAAATAAAAATAAATATAAGTATGCTATAAGCAATTATTTATTCTTTAAAACAAGTGATCTCAATCTCTGCCTGAATATATTTGTTAGAAATTAGGTAAAGGGATGAAGCAAAAAGCAAAAAACTCACAGAAAAAAAGAAATTACTCAATGAGCAATTTAACTATTGTATTAACGTTCTATAAATCATTCTCTTCTCCATCTCAGGCTGGCTTCACCTCTTCACTGTCAAAACACAGGAAAGTTAATTTTCAGGACATTGTGGTTGGGCAGGAGGAGGGAGATTGCAAAGGGTGACAGACGATGGGAACTCCTGACTGAGACTTGGTCGTGTCTCAACGTTTTTCTTTACCTTCCTGAGATGTGAAGGCCACGGCTCTTCCTCCATGTGGCTGACGCTGCTTTCCAGTACCTCACTGATGTCCCCATTCGCTCTTTTCATTAGAGGACTGCCACAGTTTCCCAGTGTAGAGCTGTTCCCGAGAGTCTCATCAGGGCGGGGCCTTTTGGGTGCTGCTTTTCCTGAAATGTGCTCCATGGTCCTGCTGTCTTTTTTACCAGCCTTTGGATTTGAACATTCCAGATCTGACCTGAGGTGTTAATGGGGATTAAATGAATGAACTGCTTACTTTGAATTATATATTTGTATATAACTAACAGAGCAATATAGTATGTCAATGATAACACTGGTTTAGGGCATATACTGAAAAATATGGAACTAATTGTTTTGAAGGTTAAAATTTATATACATGATTATTTAGAAATTCTCTCTACGGATGAGAATTTTTCAGGGAACAACTCTGTGTGCATGAGATAGTCTTGTGATAATGGTAACAGGGCCAAGTTAGAAAAACACTCAAATACATTACTGTGCATATGTATGACAACATTGTATATAGTCATTAAGAATCACATTTTCTTTTTTTAATTAATTTATTTTTTATTGATTATGCCATTACAGTTGTTCTATTCCCCCCCTTCATTCCCCTCCACCCTACCTCCCCGTCCCCATTACCCCCCCTTTAGTTTATGACCATGTGTCTCAAGTTCTTTAGATTCTATATTTCTCCTTCTATTCTTGCCCCCCCATCTATTTTCTATCTACTGTCTATGCTACTTATTTTCTGTACCTTCTCCCCCCTTCTCCTCCTCCCATTCCCCTGTTGCTAACCCTCCTTGAGATCTTCATTTCTATGTTTCCATTCCTGATCTAGCTGTCCTTTTAGTTTGCTTTTGTTTTAGGTGTGGTTGTTAATAACTGTGAGTTTGCTGTCCTTCAACTGTTCATGGTTTTTTTATCTTCTTTTTCTTAGATAAGTCCCTTTAGCATTTCATATAATAAGGGCTTGGTGATCATGAACTCCTTGAATTTGATCTTATCTGAGAAGCACTTTATCTGTCCTTCCATTCTAAATGAAAGTTTTGCTGGATAGAGCAATCTTGGTTGTAGGTCTTTAGATTTCATGACTTGGAATACCTCTTTCCAGCCCCTTCTTGCCTGTAAGGTCTCTTTTGAGAAATCTGCTGATAGTCTGATGGGAACTCCTTTGTAAGTGACTGTCCCCTTCTCTCTTGCTGCTTCTAGGATTCTCTCCTTCATTTTAATCTTGGCTAATGTAATGATGATGTGCCTTGGTGTGTTTCTTCTTGGGTCCAACTTCTTTGGGACTCTCTGAGCTTCCTGGATTTCCTGGAAGTCTATTTCCTTTGCCAGATTGGGGAAGTTCTCCTTTATTATTTGTTCAAATAAGTTTTCCACTGGTGGCTGTGCCTTTCCCCCTTCTGGTACCCCTATAAGATGTTGGAGCGTTTAAAGATGTCCTGGAGGTTCCTAAGACTCTCCCCATTTTTTTGAATTCTTGCTTCTTCACTCTTTTCTGTTTGGCCATTATTTGCTTTCTTCTGGTCCACTCCATTGATTTGAGTCCCAGTTTCCTTTTCATCGCTATTGGTTTCCTGTGCAATTCCATTCATTTCAATTAGTTTCGCCTTCATATGTTTGTCTAATTTGTGGCTATAATCAACCAGTTCTGTGAAGATCCTGATCACCAGTGTTTTAAACTGTGCGTCTGAGAGTTGTGCTATTTCTTCATCGCTTAGATTTATAGGCTCTGGGGCTTTGAGATCTTCTTGAGCCATTTTTGGTCTGTTCTGGCCCTTTAAGTGTGAGGAGCGGAGCCTTGGCCTCCCAGGTCGCTGGGTTGTGACGCTATATGTGGGGGCGTGGTCAGAGCGGGGAAATGGCGGCCCCCTCTGCTGTTTTGAGCCGCTGGGTGAGGAGTAGAGCCTTATGTGGTTCACCAGAGCCGGGCCACTCAGAGTCGCTGGGTTATGATGCTGTATGTGGAGGTGGGGTCGGAGCGGGGAAATAGCGGTCCCCTCCGCTGCCGCTTGCCGCTTGCCGCGGGGACCCGCTGGGTCCTGGTCCAATCGCCCACTCCCTTGCTTGTCTATCCGTACACAAATGCGCGATCACAGTCAAACTGCAGCCCTGCTCCCTGGCTGTTTCCCCATGGTCGCTTGCTCGGTCTCTCACTAGGTCCAACCCTGTGCCTGGATTCAGCACACCTGAGTCCGTCTGACCAAGTTTTCCTGTGCAACCCCGCTCCACCAGCTGCTGGTTTCGCCCCTTACAGGTCAGGCTGAAGAATTTTTTTTTTAAGATTTTATTTATTTATCTTTAGAGGGGAAGGGAAGGAGAGAGGGAGAGAAACATCATTGTATGGTTGCCTTTCATGCATCCCCTGCTGGGAACTGGCCTGTAGGGAACAGGCCTGCAACCCAGGTATGTGCCCTGACTGGGAATCGAACCGCGATTGTCAGGTTCGCAGGCCCGTGCTCAATCCACTGAGCTACACAAGCCAGGGCCCAGAATTTGTTGTTAACAGACTTCTGAAAAGTTCAATTTTCTGTGTTCTGGCTGTGTTTTCTGTCGCTAATATTTAGTTGTCTCTAAACTTGGTTGTGTGAGAAGGCACCGCGTCTCCACCTATGCCTCCATCTTGGCGGAAGTCAAGAATCACGTTTTCAAGTCATAATCATTGATGCTGGAACATGTTCATAATATAACATTTGAGGGGGAGCAGGATAAAAAGCTACGTATGCTATTTGATGTCAATCTTGTTTAAAAATACAAGCATATGCGAAATAAAAAGTCTGAAAGGAAACGGAGCAAGCCCAATGTTAACAGTGGCTAAGTCTGGACTGCGATTATGGGCGATGTTGACTTTCTTTTCTGCACTTTTCAGTATTTTCCAAACTTCCCAATAGTAACTTTATGCTACTTCAACAGTTGAAGCACCCCCACCCCCACCAAAAAAAAAGTTATTAAGAGACAAAAGAAAAGAAAAAAAACAATGGCTGTCCCTATGTCTGAGAAAGCATTCTAGGTGTGAATAGACATTCCTTTGAACCTTAACACTAGATCACTCCTAAAAAGCAACTGTTCCAAATGGAAATGAGTTTGAGGTATTAACAAAGACCAGTCAGAGAGTCCTGTGAAATGCTGATCAGAAGAGAGAAAGCAAATATCTAGAACAAGATCGGTGACACTTCTATGATAACGTCAGGTTTTACTGTAGCCCTTCCTGATTCCGTCAGAACTTCTGATCTGATGTTTTACTCAACTGTTTCCTGAATGAATGCCATTGAATTATTTCTGAATAAATTGTAATGGCTTTTTCCCAGCCAATAAAGATGTGAGAACATGGCCTTACCTTTTCTGTTTTTCTGAAACACACGACTGTGGAGAAGATGCTCTACTTGGCTCATCAGCCAAAGTAGCCAAAATAAAGTTAGCTTCCAGTAACATGTCATCAATACTCAAAGCCACTGGTCTAAAAAGGCAAAGTCAGAGCACACAGAACAATCATTTTCTGATGGACATTGGGAAAACATTAGAAAATGATACCTAATTCAGGAGTAAAAGGAAAACAGGAAAGTCCCTTTGTCTTTTCACAAATTAACATAGTCCAAGAACTGAAAGGGCCCTTAGAAATCATCAGATCTAATTTCATAAAACACATCTATCCTAACCCAATCTCACTTGAAATTTCTGTCCTGAAATACTATATAAAGTGTCATAGTTTCAAGACATTTAACCTGGTTAAGCCATGTATTATTTTCTGGGTAAGCATTTTATTCAGGTCAAATGTATAAATGTTTTCACTCTGCAGAAGCATATAACTTTCTCAATTAAGTTACCAGTTAAAAAAATACCATGTTATGACATCTTTTACAATTTTAGTTTGATAAGTGTTTCTAGTAAGGTTAAGGAATTCCTGAGGTGTGAATGAATTCTGAAGTGATTCAAATGGTCTTATTATTGATATGTAACAAAAGAAGAAGAAAAAAATTTAGAAAAGTTCCCAAGAACCTACTTTCCAGGAAAATCAAAATAAATGGATATAGGAGCACGTGTAGCTTCTGAAAATACCAGTATTCCCTGAAAGAAAAAGAAGGGGAAAAAGTGAAATATTTCTTTTAAACTACCAGTGAAGGATGAATTTGGTGCAAATTTTTTTTTACCTTAAATTCTTTGAAGCAAAACGTTATTTCAGTGTCAATTCCAATTTGAAAGAAGTCAAACTCAGCTGGACCCACAAACATCTCACTGTGTACAGAATTGTTCAAATCTGTTTAATAGTGTAGGAAAATAAGGAATAAAATTAGTTCCAGAGGTATTTGTTAAATTTGAATATAAAAATATAACCTAAGTGGTAGGTTTAGAATAGCCATAAATTCTTTGCCATTCCTTCACTGAGAGGTGAGGCCTCTGTCTACCTCCTCTCTCCCAGAATCTGGGTGCCTGGGCTCTCTGACTGCTTTGACCAGTATGATATGGTGGGGTGACCTACTGCTGGTTCCTGAGCCCAGGCCTTTGGAGACTAGCAGCTTCTATCCTCCACTTTCTCTTTCCTGCAACACCTGCTCTTGAAGCTCAGCCACCTGACTTCATGCTATAGGAAGTCCAAGTTGATGAAGAGGCCACATGTGCTCAGGTACTCTGGTTAGCAATCCAGCTGAGCTCTAGGCATCGATTACCAGCCATGTCAGTGTACCATCCTGGATGTGTTCAGGTGATTCCAGCCCTAGCCACCAACTGCAACTGCATGGGAGCCCCCAAGTGAGCACTGCCCAGCTGAGCCCCATCAACCCACAGAACCATGAGAGGTAAGAATAAATTTATTTTAAGCCACTATATTTTGGAGTGGCTTGTTGTAAACAATAGCCAGAATACCATAAACACAAGTTTATTCTAAAAGGAACTACTACTTATGAATATAGTTTATATAGAACAAAGTTATTATATTTTGACTCACATCTTTTGTTTTTTTTCATTCATATCTTTAGTTACTTAGATATCATTCAGCATTTTTAATAAAACCTTGCAACATAAGGACCTTGTATGATAACTATATCTACAGGTAGAGCCTATTTGGGAAATCACACTTTATTTTCAACCCTTCAGCTAAGCGAATTTTTACTTTAAAAGTCCCATTCTCATATGTGTTTTTTAGCTCTAGCTATCAGTGAGGCATCAACATTTCCTTATAGCTACGGACAGATTTACATTAAATTTGTTGTTTATGTCTAAGTATTTAATCTTCTATGTTGCTATTATAACATTATGTTCTCCTATTGGATATTATTTGTATATACAAAAGCTATTTTCTTCATCATTTATATCCTGCTACCTAAATTATTTTATTCTCTGAGTTAGTTTTAATCACTGATTCTCTAGAGTTTCCAGGTGTACTATCATGTCATTTGCAAACAGAAATGGTCATAATTGTATCGCCTTTAATTGGCTTATCTAGTTGCATTAACTAATAACCCCGGTACAATGTTAAATAGAAGAGGAGACAGTAGGTATCCTTGTCTCGGATCTTAGTGGAAGTCAGTCTTCCTATTAAGTAAGACACTGGCTTTGGTATATGTAAATACATATACATTTAAATATTTTTAAGAAAGCATCCATCAATTCCTACATGTTTTAGTGTTTCATATTAAGAATAAGTGTTACACATTTATGAGGCTCTCAGCATTTATGGAGATAATCATAATTTTTTTCTTAAACCTATTGATGTAGTGTTTCACATTACTGGAGTTTCTAATATTGAACCACTATTGTATTTCTAGAACAGATTTCATGTGGTTATGGTATACAATTTCCTTAATGAAGTGCTGGCTTTCCTATTATTTTCTTCAACTTCTAGATGCATTTTAAAATTTTTATTTAATTGTTGTTCAAGTACAGTTTTCTGTCTTTTACTCCCATCCCAACCCCCCCCAGTGCTCCCCACCTCCCTCCCATTTCCACCCCCCTTAGTTGTTGTCCATGTGTCCTTTATACTAGTTCCTGTAAATCCTTCCCCTTTTTCCCCTGAAATTCTCTCCCTCTGCTCACTGTACGCCTGTTCTCTATTTCAGTGTCTTTGGTTATATTTTGCTTGCTTGTTTGTTTTGTTGTTTAGCTTCCTGTTAAAGGTGAGATCATATGGTATTTGTCTTTCACTGCCTGGCTTATTTCACTCAGCGTAATGTTTTCTAGTTTCATCCAAGCTGTTGCAAAGGGTAGGAGCTTCTTCTTTCTTTCTGTTGCATAAAATTTCATTGTGTATATGTACCACAATTTTTGGATCCATTCATTCACTGACGGACACCTAGGTTGCTTCCAACTTTTGGCTATTGTAAATTGTGCTGCTATGAACATTGGGATGCATAGGTTCTTTTGGATTAGATGCATTTAAAAAAATACGATCATACTATTTATACTAGTTCATAATCTATTTAATAACATACCCTGTTTTTCCATGTCAAGAAGTACATTTTTCTAATTATTTGTGTGTTGGTGTTTGTGTTTTCCACTACCAAATTAGCTTCAATAAATATCTTTGATATGCGCCCACAGGGAGAAAGGAATGTACATATACACGTACAAAATTACTTTTAACTGCTTCCTAGTATTTCATTACTTTAACTCAACCAATCTCCTGTTGTTAGAGTTGAAGTATACAACACCCATTAAAAGTGCTCATCTCTTGATAGTAGGATTTCAAGTGCTTTGTTTTATTCGTGCTTTTTAAAAATTATTTTCTTCCGTGAACATAGATTGTGTAAGTATGAGAACACAGGATAAATGGTCTATGTATTTTTAAAGGACCAAGTGACACCGTACAAATACATTCATCTCAAACAAGAAGGCTCATGTCACTCTCAGGGCGTTAGCAGAGAGGCAGGTCAGTGATATCCCCAGTCAGACGTAACTAACTGCTCATGAGAAAGTCGTTCGTGAGGGACAGTGTCTCCTGGTTGTTAAATGGCCACCTTTATTCAGAGATGAGGGTATGGACTATAAAACAGACCCTGTCACTAGTCCAGCACACAGTGTCCAGATCACGCGCTCCCGAGGGCGAGGACAGAATGGTGGACGGAATCTGAGAGAAACAGTCACAGTGCAGGCGCGGTGAGCTGGAGCCCTGTGCTCACACCGTCCTCCATGCTTACTATCTGTGTGCCGCCGGGCGAGTCACTTAGTTTCTCTGCGCTTCATAGTCTTCAAATGGAAAATGGGGATCGTAATAATACCTACATCACAGAGTTGGTAGGCAGATCAGATGAATTCAGAAGACGTAAACCATTTAAACAGAACCTGGCACCAACCAAACCCTACCAAAGTCATCTGACCCGACTTAATCCCTGGCTCTACCGGTTGTTCACTTGAAAATAACACAGTTCCTCCCTTCGTACACTTTCTTTTTTTTTTTTTTATTAAAGATTTTTATTTATTTATCTTTAGAGGGGAAGGGAAGGAGAGAGGGAGAGAAACATCAATGTATGGTTGCCTTTCGTGCATCCCCTGCTGGGAACTGGCCTGCAGGGAACCTGCCTGCAACCCTGGCATGTGCCCTGACTGGGAATCGAACCGCGATTGTCTGGTTCGCAGGCCCGTGCTCAATCCACTGAGCTACACCAGCCAGGCCTTCATACACTTTCTTTACTGCTATCACCACAAAAAAAAATCATACAAGGTCAGAGTCTTCAACAACTTGTGCCAAAAAGACCCAAGTAAATTTTCTTAACACCCAAACTCCTGATTGAATCATGCCTTAGTTTCTCCATACCATCTAGATAACTCTTGGAAGACTGACTTAAGAAGCATTCACATTTCTGCCCTTCGTACTTGCTGTCCGGCATATATTACATTTCCAATTCAAATTTACTTTCATTTGTGTAGTCAAAGATCATCTCAATTGACTGCTGGCCTCTTAATTTTTCTTTATACTAAACACAGAGTATGATAAAGGATGAGAAATAGAGCTTAAAATCTTAACTTTAAAAATATTTTTCTCTGTAACCCTTCTCCTAATTGTAAAACAACTGGAATTTCAAAGCCAAGTATTATTATAAGTATTGATTGTGTAAATTTCATGAATTCCTTAAAATTTTTAATGATCTTTCTACATCTTTCTGCTTTTTAGACAAAAATAAATATTATACCACCAATATTTACTGAATGGTTAGTAATCAAGAAGGCAGGAAGTAATACGGTGTCAAAGCCCCGGGACAAATAGAACCCTTACCCATTGATTCCTCACTAGAACTCTTAATGCAGACTTCCAGGGGGGTAACAGCAAGAGTAACTTCCTCTTGACTCGATGAAAAAAAGACAACCGCCTCGGCAAGCACTCTATGAAATGTAATAAAAATATTTTGTTATTTGAAAGACAAACAGAAAGAAACAGCTTCCTAATGAGGTTCAAATCTTTGATCTAGAAATAAACAGGTTAGTTTACTTAGAAAAATTTACCCAAAGGACTTGATATTCTTTCTTCTATATGAGCTCCTATATTTTAGTATATTTAATAATTGTAACTTCACTTAAAGGCCAAGAGAATAGTAAAACACATTCTTAGTAAAACATGTGAAAGCTGCAGGATAAACCAAATTCTAGAATAAAATGTCTTTAATTTTTTTTAACATAACAAGTGTGTATATATATGTGTGTGTGTGTGTATATATATATATATATATATATATATATATATATATACATACTTAAGATTTTATTCATTTATCTTTAGAGGGGAAGGGAAGGAGAGAGGGAGAGAAATATCAATGTGTGGTTACCTCTGGTGCGTCCCCCACTGGGAACCGGCCTGCAACCCAGGCATGTGCCCTGACTGGGAATCGAACCTCAATCCTTTGGTTCGAAGGCCCGTGCTCAATCCAGTGAGCTACACCAGCCAGGGCTATATATATTTTTAATTGGCCTGGGATCACACTTCTAAGGGAGGCAGTGGAAAACAGAGATGTTTGAATGCAGCTGGGCGGCTGTGCCGGAGGCCCAGCTGAGAGGTGGAGAGGTTTACCAGCTGCCTGCCGCCTGTACTCTCTTTCCCTTTGTTACTTGTTCTGGATTATTAACTATTACTTTCAAGGTTGTCCTGACATCCCCAAATGCCCTTTCATCCTGTGCACCTTTTTAAAAGCAACTTTATTAAATTATAATTTACATACCACACAATTCAATTTTCAAGTTGTTTGATTTGCATTTTCCCAAGACTAATGATGTTGAGCATCTTTGCATGTCTTCTCTGGAGAAATGTCTGTTCAAATCCTTTGCCTGTTTTTTAGTTAGGTTATTTGCCTCTTCATTATTGCATTATAAGTTCTGAGCTACTTTTGAAACTGAGGCGTTGGTAGATAAAAAAGAGATACTTAGAATTTTTGTGATGCTGGTGTTATCCTGATGCTAGACACGAGCTCAGCAGTGTTTCTTGATGCCAAAATGTTATGAACACCTACCAAGTTCATTGGAAACTTTTCCAGTGATGAGAGGGATGTTGTCCAAGATACCAGACAACTTGATACAAAAACCAACAACACAAATGTGAAATTCAAAAAGGAAGAAAAATACCAATTGCTAATAAATAGGAAAAAATGCTCAAGTTCCCTAATAATAAAATAGATACAACAAAGAACTCTAATAATATCACTTTCTACCTATTATATTGGCAAAAATTTTAAAGATTGATCATATCCTTTACTCAGAAGGATTCTCCTGCACTTTTGGTGGGATATAAATTGGTAGGAAACTTTCTGGATAGCAATTTGATAGTATGTGTGCCAATGTAAAATTTGCGTTTGAGCCGGCAGTTCGTTTCTAGGACTCTGTCTGCAGTGGGCAGCCCAGACGAAGGCCCCTGAGGACCCCAGACTCCTGGGATTCCTGCCCTTACATAATCCCCCTTCCTCTTGAGTGTGGGCTGGACCAATGAGGTTCACGTTTAACAAAAAGAAAATGGTAGAAGTGGTAAGATAGCCGCCCTGAGATTCGGTTATAAGGAGACCATGACTTCCATCTTGGGAGTCTCCCTCTCCCTGCCTTTCCTTCCCACATTGGGAGGACGGCCAGGCAGTCTAGGAGAGGCTTGCCCTGAGAGGAACCGAGGTCTACCAGCGAGCCTGGAAGCGGATCTTTTGAGGCCTCCCAGCAACAGTGTCCGTGAGCTTGGAAGTGACTCTTCCTACAACCTTCAGATGAGTCCACAGTCCTGCTGATGGCTTACCTTCAACCTCTCTGCAACAACCTCAGAGACCTTCAGCCAGATGCACCCAGTGAAGCTGCACTTATTAGCATGAAGTAACAAATGTCTGGTTTTTTAAGACTCCAAGATGTGGGAAAATTTGCTCCACAGCAACAGATAATTAATACAGCACCCTAATACTAGCAGCGTTGTTTGTGGTAGTAAAAAGTTGGAACCTACTTTTTTGTGTATGTGATAGTAAAAGTTGAAAACAACCCTTATCTGAGGTTTCATTTTCCTCAGTTTCAGTTACCGCCAGTCAACTGCAATCTGAAAATATTAACTGGAAAATTCCAGAAATAGTCTGTAAGTTTTTAAACTGCCTGCCAGTGTGGGTGGTATGATGAAATCTCATGCCATCCAGGGCCATGCCGCCCAGGATGCAACTCATCCCTTTGTTCAGCGTCTCCAAGCTGTGGATGCTACCTGCCCGCTAGTCACTTAGGAGCTATCTCGGTTGTCACCAGCTTGACTGATGAGCATCACAGTGCTTGTGTTCAAGGCACCCTTATTTTACTTAATAATATCCCCAAATTGCAAGAGTAGTGATGCTGACAATTCGCATATGCCAGAGAGAAGCCATACAGTGCTTCCTTTAAGGGAAAAGGTGAAAGTTCTCCTGGACTTAATAAAGAAAGAAAAAAGTCATATGCTGAGGTCGCTCAGATCAGTGGTAAGAACAAATCTTCTATCTGTGAAGTTGTAAAGAAGGAAAATAGATTCCTGCTAGTCTGGCTGTCGCACCTGAAACTGCAAAAGTTTTGGCCAACAGTGCATGATAAGTACTTTGTTAAGATGGAAAAGGCATTGAATTTGTGAGTGGAAGGCAGGAGCAGAAAACATACTCTGACTGACGGCAACATGATACACCAGAGAACTGAGGCTACGCGAAGACCTGAGCAAGGAGACTCCTGAAACGTCGCTACGGTATATTGTTACAATTGTTCTATTTTATTATTTGTTATTGTTATTCTCTTACTGTGCCTAATTTATAAATTGAACTTGATCACAGGACTGTATGTATAAGAAAAAACATAGTATCTATAGGGTTTGCTACTGTCCAGGGTTTTGGGCATCAACTGGGGAGGGGACTGCTGTAGGACTGTGGGTAAGTAAATTATCGCCAAGTCATACAATGAAAAATTACACAGTCATGAAAAAGAATAAGATTGATTTAGGTGAACTGACATAGAAACTAAACTAAGCAAGTTGCCAAATGATAATAATAATGGGATATTTTCTTTAAAAAATATATATGTATGATATATATTATGAAAAACAATATATTTATCTGGTTGTGACATAAATTTGAGAGGTAGGAGAAAGATAACCAAATAATGAGAGGGGGAGTTACAGAGATTGGCTCTACATTTAACAAAATAGCTATAAACAGAAGAAGAGCTAGAATGATATATACCAAGTTATTGATAGATGTTACCCCTGCCAGTGGGACAGAGGGGGCAGATAGAGGAGAAAGACTTTCGTTTGTTAATCTTTGCAATCTTCTATGAGTTGCAGATGCATTTCGAGAGCATGTATTTCTTTTGTAATTTAAAAAACAAGGATAAAATACCTTTTGGTTCACAAACTAATTAATGTTTAATGTTACAGCTTAACATTGAAAAATTGAGTACACTGACTCATTCTGTAGAGAAAAAAAGGAAACATAAGGACAAAATCATTTCACATCAAAAATGCTGAAATTTTCTTATGCCGTGTGTCCTAAGCCTCAAACAGAAGGCACCATATAAATGCAAAGTATTATTAGATAATATATTTCTTTCTTGATATCATTTGATGAAAAAAGCTACTGATGGAATATTTTTAGAACTTTCTCAGCCACTAAATTATTATCGCTACCATTATGCAGTTATGATCTATTACAGCAATTTTCAAGCAGTGTGCTGAGGCACACTGGTGTGGCAAGGATTTTTAAGACATGCAATACCTGACTATTTAGTTTTAAAAAATGACAATAGTCAACACAACAATTGTCATCTGGTATGAGTGAATTAAAATTATACCTTTGATCAGATTGGCCAAAAATATGTATTTTTGGCGTGCTGCAGAATCTTAGTAATTAGTGTATGTGTGCCATGAGATGAAAAAGGTTGAAAACTGATGGTCTACTGTTATCTTTATCAAGGTTTTCTTTCTATCTCTAGATTCTGTAAGAGCTGTCTCCAAGTCCAGTGCTACCTTAAAAAAAGGTAATTGATTTAAAAGCTCCAGGACAAAGCCCTGGCTGGTGTGGCTCAGTGGATTGAGTGCCAGCCTGCAAACCAGAGGGCTGACAATTCAGTTCCCAGTTTGGGCACGTTCCTGGGCCGCCACGTTGCAGGTGGGCTGGGAGTGCGCGAGAGACAACCTATCGATTTCTGTCTCGCACATCAATATTTCTCTCCCTTCCTTTTTCCCTCCCTTCCCCTCCCTTTAAAAATAAATTTAAAAAGCCTTTAAAAGCTCTAGGACATTAATTCTTTACTCTCTAACCATACTACATTCAGAATAAAATAAAATAAAACGCCGGAAGAGGGAAGTCATTACCTCGGTTGAATCACTAGTACATTAGTACATGTACTCTTTTCGAAAATAACTTGCAAAGGCTGACTTTCTTGAAAACACACATTATGGGTCCTTTTAATACCTTAAAGAGAGTAGAGCAACCTGTTAATTTTAAGTGCGAAATGAACAGGTTAAAAATTCTTTAACTTTCACAGCCAAATTAAAGTAATGTTAAGTGAAATTATATTTAGTATCTGCAGGTGCCTAGTGTGGAGAAGCACTTGTCCTTAATGAATGTGTTTATCGCCCCCTAGCGGAAAGCAGGCAACATGTCAGACCCTCTGATCAAGCAGGCAGTCGAGTTTCCACATTCTCTTGAAATACAGGTAGTTTCTTAAACTGTGTGTAAAACAGTGATTGCCCACTACAGCTCAGATATCTATGATTCCCGTTCAGTACCTGTCATCCAGGACCGATGTTCCTGGATGTACCTTTGGAAGATGAAGCTGAACATCGCCTGTGGATTCTTTTCCGCTGAGAGGAGGAGGGAAAATGTGTGTGTCAAGAATGACTACAGCCCTTTGTGCCAGGAACTGTGGTACCCATTGTACATACCTCAACTGGGACTCACACAATATCCCTTCGGGGTATGTACTTAATCTCTGAAGAGAAAACAATAGCTCAGTGAGGCTGACCTTGCAAGGCTATGCTTTTTTAACAAGTAGGGCAGGTCTTCCAACAATGTCATTCAAAGTCATTGCATTACAATGTTGATGTGATGCCTTAGAAACTAAAATCTTGTTTACATTAATTAGCCTGTGGTAAAGTTGGTTTCATTATTGGTCATTTCGCCTGTCAATGATGTGAAGTGGGGACTTACCTTATAGCTAGAATTTGAATCTAAATATAGAGCCCATGTAATAAAATCCACATAGGCTAGCATAATAATGTAGCAGTGTGAATCTAAAGGTCTCATTGGTAATAACATTTCTCAACTTATTATTTTTTTTACTTAGGTGATAACAGCAACATTTATTAATTTCAAAAATATTTACTGAGCACCTACTACAAAAAGAAAGATTTGGACCAATATCACAAGTACAAGAGTTTTTTGAAGCATAAAATTCTACCTGCCAACTTCAAGTAAAATAGCAGCAATTATAATAAATATAACTAGAGCTAACATTTAGAGAATGTGCCAGGCATACTTTTAAACAGTTTAGAACTATAACTTCCTAGAATTCATAGATCCTCGTGAAAACCCCAGCAAGTTGGTACTAACATCTCCCCCAATTTACACACTGGGGAACTGAGACATAGGGATGTAAATAACTTGCCCAAGGTCTCTGCGAGGAAGGGGCAGAGCAGGATTGGACCCCACACACAAAGGCCTCCAGAGCCCATGATGTTAAATGCCAGGCTGTACATATGTAAGCATGTGAAAGTCCTATGAGTACAACATCTGAATAAGGACTGCGAAGTTGGGAGGCAGAGAGAATGAATGAAGGTTTTGGCTCCTAGTATTGAGGGGCAGGACTCTAACCCAGGCTCTGTAATTTACTACTTCTATGACCTTGGGCCAGTTACCACACTTCTTTCAGCCCTGGATCTAATACTATCTGCCTCCTACAGGGAATTATTCTTGTCTTTCTTACCAAGGAACACCATTACCAAGGCACTCTTACAGAATATCAAGCAGCTAGTTAATTTGAGAACAACCAATTGGTTAAATGCAAATGGATTTTTAAAAATTGGTTCGTGCCCTGGCTGGTGTGGCTCAGTGGATCGAGCACAGGCCTGCAAACCAAAAGACTGCAGGTTCAATTCCCAGTCAGGGCACATGCCTGGGTTGTGGGCCAGGTCCTGGGTGGGGGGCTCATGACAGGCAACCATGCATTGACATTTCTCTCCCTCTCTCCTCTTTTCCTCTCTCTAAAAATAAATAAAATCTTTTTAAAAAATAAAAAATTGGTTTGTATGCAAGTAAAGCTTGTGTCACTGACAAGTATAAAAAGGAAATGCTACTAATCATCTCACAATACTTCTTCAAAGACAAGTAAGATAATACTTTCCAGGTACTTACAACTTTCCACAAAACTACACAAATTCTAAGCAATAATGCAATGAGGACTCCTGTTTTATTGCACATGGTTTGAATACTATAAACTTAAAAAGTATTAACAAAAACACAATACATTTAAACTAGTTTTAATTATACCTACCATATCTGCAGAAGAATTGAATAACTACTTTGCACTTATCAGATCTGGTGAATATTTTGCACATCTCTACATTTCTTTCGAGGGAATTCGGACATCTAAAGATGGGCAAAAGTGACTGTAATGCAAACAGATTATAGAACAGCACATACTCAGTATGGTAGTTTCATATGTTTAACAAACTAACACAAAAGAGTATGTATATTTATAAATGAATGAATTTGTCCTGCATGCCATTAAACCAAGTATTAAGTATAGAATAGATTTTATGTCGAATATACTGAACATTTCCACAGTAGAAGAGAAAACCAGGGCCACTTATATTTACCTTCATTCCCAATTTGCAATTTAAATTTGATACTGTGTTTCTATCTTTCGTTTCCACTGCGGCTGACCATTGGTAGCTTTGGAAAAACACAGGAGAGAAGAGGACACATCCATATGCTGACCGACAAGAATTCACAGATCTTAAAGCAAGCTGGGAAAATACAATAATAACTATTTAGGGGGAAAAATAAAATTTCTTTAAATAATTAATTAAAAATGATATTTGTTTCACATAGCAATTAAATGAACTCAATGCTATCAGATGATAACTACATTATATGTCTATACTCTCCATATGAATTATCATATATATTATATGGACTGCATTCGTTCAGTGTGTATGGAGTCTGCATATGCATACATGTATGTCTCCACATCTATATTGAATACATATAGGTATTAAATCTTGCATGTTGAAATCGTAAATTTGCAAATGCCTACAGGGTCCTTAATTTTAACGCACAAAGGGACAGAAGGCAATATAAAAGGGAGTAAAAAAAGAACGCAGCAAAATGATCTCTAGCCTTGTCTAAGGAGAGAAACTGTGTCAGCCAACTACTTCCGCTTGGGTATAAAAGCTCCAAACTGTCAGACCTTTTCTGAATTTTCAAGAGAAGCAAGAAATCAGATTTTTTGGTGAACTCTCCCAATTTTTAACTGTTAGAGATTATTTCAGTTCTTTAAAAAAAACAGTGCAATCCACATAAAACACTTCTGCAAGCCCTATCTAGCCTCTTGGCCACCAATTTGTGACTTTTGATTTAAATCAATTGTGTTTATCTGCATGATTTTAAAGTTTACTATGCTTTGTTAAATCAGCAATTTCAACCAGTGTGCCGCAAGAATTTTTAAAACATGCAGTATTTGATATTCAGGGGCACCAACTTCTTTTTCCTTAGATTGTCAAATAAAAAAAAATGACAGCAGCCAACACAAGAGTAGCTGTTTGGTGTGAATGAATCAAAATTATACCTATTTTTTTGGTCAGATCAGCAAAAAAATATATTTTTTGTTGTGCCACAAAATTTTAGTAATTAGGTTATGTGTGCCATGAGATGAAAAAGGTTGAAAATTGCTGCTTTAAAGGTATTCAGATATGTGCCATCAGGACAAACAGTGAAAGGGATAGTTACAATTTTTGGATTTCCTAATTAACGTACGATCTAGACCAGAAACTTAAACCCTCTTTTGTGTTAAAAGATGGTGTCTGAATTAACTTTCTCACTTACACCTTTCTCAGACGGGTCTAGCCACAGCTCGTCGCTAACTCGTGATAGAGCTTGGATTGCTTTCCCAAATACTACAAAGAAAAAGAAAGTTGCTGTCACATTCGTTCTCTCGAACAATAAAAGCAAATCCCAAGATTACTTCAGCATTCACAGGACTTAAATTCATAAAGAACAGTGTTTATAGACTAGTACTGCAAATTGTTAGAAAAACAGTGATAATACCCTTGGCAAAATGCCAGGTTCATAGTAAGAGCTCAATAAATTCAAAGAATGAGTGTAATGAAATGATAAGGGGCAACAGAATTCTTCCTTTCTGTTTGTTTGCAGTGTGGCGTGGAGCTACCATGGCAAGCCAATTTCTGCACTAATGTATTTTTTAAATTTTATTTCATTTTATTTTAAATGTTACTCAAGTACAGTTTTCGTATTAACGTATTTTAAAACTTGTATCCTTCCCCCACCCCGCCCTCGACCCGGAGGAAAAAAATGTAAAAACAAGAAATGGAGAGGTTGGTTTGAAGGGCTCTAATAATTTGGTGGCAAAGTCAAAGCTAGTGAGAGAGAAATTGGAGGCACGCACGATGCACCTCCGATGTGGGAGGGTCGTATGGAAGGTGTCGGATCTTCCCCCAAACACCCTTAGATGTCCTTTCAGAAACAGAGGCGAGGGCTGGGTGAAGTCCCCGTCTGATCTGGTATGGCACTTTCAAGTTCTTATGAGTTATGAAGAAGTAAAAAAAAAAAAAACCATGTAGCAAACAGATACGGTCTAGTCTGCTGCAGTAAAAATGGATGGCCGTATCCATCTATGGAAAAGTAGAAAAAGGAAAAAGTCATTCCAGAACATCAGATTATGATGCTCATGAATTTTAAATGTGGAAGTTGGGGGTGTGGGCCTCAAAAACTGAGACCAAAAGGAAAAACAAAAAGGTAGAGGCAATGTCCTTTTTTTCACTCCTTTCAATTTCACTCCTTTTTCCGCGGAGCTGCCTAAGGCAGGCCTTTCATCCAGCCAACGAGTATTTATTGAGAATCTACTAGGTTCCAAGCGCGGCGATGGGGGGATAGCGTGATGAACGAGGCAGGGAGAGATGGCGCCCTCGCAGCGCTTCCGGTCCAACCAGATCAAACAATCATACAAATAACCGCTTATTATGAATCGAGGGATACAAAGCCGTCCTCAGCGCCCGGGAAGCCAGCCCCCAACACAAGTTGATCGTTTTGTGTTTCCATCTGTAAGAAGCCCCTGCGTTTCTAAAGGCAGACTTTCTGGAGTCTTGTACGTGTTTCAAGTACCGTGGATAACCATCGTTCCTGTACATTCCCACTTATGGAGCTCTTTACACGCATTTCCATTTCATCCCTACGACAGAGCGCTGCTCTACTTATCACCCGACTGAGGAAGAAACCCGAGCCGCAGCGTGATTCAGTGCCTCGTGTCAGGTCGTAGATTTAAAAATGGTGGGACTAAAATAAAAACCTGCTTTGTGTTTTTCCCATGACACTAAAATACTTTAGCTGTCCAAGCATTACTCTTCCCCCAAGTCCACCCCACGCTGTATCTTCCCAATTTTGACGCGCGGTGGCGCAACTTCATTTCCTAGACACCCACGAAAATATAAATATTGCGCATAAATCGAAGCACGTGGGCGTTCATCCTCCCCTCAGAAGCTAACCGGACCGTGGGGGGGGGGGGGGGGGCGGTGCGCGCTGGCTCTGAGGAGACTTTGGTGTCCCCAGCCCTTATGCATAAAGGCAACTGGGAAGAAGTATGCGGATGGTGGAACTCCCCCATGAACTTCAGGCTTTCCCTTTTTGTCCCTAGCTAGGAAAAAACACTGCTCCACCTTTAACCTGACTGCCGTTCATCCCGCACTTCAGCATGGCTGCAGGCCCTAACAAGCAGGGTCACAAAGTGCGCCTCAACTCGACGCCCAGGGTTCCCGGATGTGGTCCAAGCTCGCAGAAGCTACGAGATCTCACCCCGCCCCGCCACTTCCACTCTTTCCCCCAAAGCAGCTTCGCTTTACAGCGGGGGAAGGCCTATACGGGCCACCGTAGAGCCGTCTCCCCAGTCCTCATTCTCTATTGGTTGTGGACGAGGTGGGCGGGTCGTCGAGGAGTCAGAGGAAGAGGGCTGTGGCGGTTGTGGTAGCTGAGCGGAGCCCAGTGACAGGATGGTGAGGATGGCAGCTGCGGCGACCGAGGCCTGGCTCTTCGCCGGGGGGCTGCGTCGTAGGGAGCCTCTGGGAGTGTCTGGGCGACGGCTTGGGCGATCCTGGAGGCCTGGACGGATGCGGCCTGGGCCTGGCCCGGGGGAAGGCCCTGGGGGAGGGAAGGGAGATATGGGAGCGGCCACTTCTGAGTGCAGCCGGCTCTGGCCTGGCACCCCAGTCCCAGAGGCCAGAGGACGTGTTGGGGGGGGAAGAGGCCCCTCACTGCTGCTAGTCCTGTCACAAGACCCACATGCCGGAGCCGGGAAAGGCCTTTGGCTCTGTGCTTCGACTGTCCCCGAGAAAACGGTTCCCCTGCGTTTCCAGACGTTTCCCTACTTCTTCCCCGCAAAAGGCACCTCCCGCTGGTTCGGGTGTACGGGTTACCATCCCCCAGTTGGCGAAATCTGGCTTCTCAGATTCAAAACGGGAAGTAGCGAGCAGGATCCCTCAACCAATGTAGTTTGGCACCTAAGGAAAGGATTAAAACGATCCCTTTTGCCCCTGCAACAACGTGCAGCTGCCAGTGCACTGTGGTAGTATGTTCTCAAAAAGACTGCATTTTTGGCTCTTCGAATTGTTGGAACTACTGGTTTACCTAGGATGCTGCGACCCTTTAGAGTGGGGTCCCTTAGTAGTCTGTAAACTCCTTGAAATTGTTTTGAATTTTTTGAGAATATGTACCGTTTCCTAGATAAAAGGGCCAGTGTTGGCGCTAACGGAGTAGTTTGAGGAGCTTTACTTCGTTCATTCATCAGATTGGCCCCGCCTGCCACGAGCCCGGCCGTCACCCTCTCCTCGCAATAGGTTGCTATGCCTGAGACCTTCCTGCAGAGAAACTCCGGGAGCTGCTACTGGCGAGGGCTCATAGCTGGAATCGGTGTTCAGAGGTGCCCTTGAGCCCTTAAAAAGTTGAGAACAGTTTCCAAAGGAGCTCTGACTATCTTGGTATTTGTGTTGATGAGGCTTAACTGTAAAGGAACTTTAACTTCTGACGGGTGTCCATTAAATTTTTAAGATTATCACAAGTCTATGACAAACATAGCCTTTGCGGTGGCTGATAGACGTCACAAAGATTTATGGTATATGCTTCTGCATATAATGTAGAAAGCTTTCATCTCACTTTTGATTTTTGCTTATAAATAGACTCCAGTTTAGAGCATTTCACTTTACAGTAATTTTGAGACAGTAAGCCCTGGGAGAAGAAGGAATTTCCCAACATGTCTTTGAAGTTACTTTTTTTTTTTTTGGAGAGGTGAACATTTTTTGAGGGTAGTTATACTGGCATATCACTTTTCATGTCAAAAAGAACTGGGCAAAATTTAGCATTAGCTGATTCTTTTATAATTAAGAGCATTTTATTTGGCAAAGGAGACTAGAAACATTTAATGCTTAGTAGTATCCAAGAGTCTGTAGGCAGCAAACTTCTGTGTGGGGAAGGTCCATTTGCATCTGGAGAAATGTGTTTGTTTATTTCATCTTTGGTTGGTGACTTCATTTCTTGATATTTGTAGTGTTGTGTTAGATTGTGTATTCAAAATAATCACCTAACTGCAGCATAATTTTACAACTAGAATTTTTAACATAAGATAATTAAAATCAATATACTGGAGGAATAAATAAGCCATAAGAATCTGGAAAATATTAGCTTTCATTTAAGCCATGACTGCTGAATTCTCTGCATTGTCTTATATAATTCTAAACAAAACAGGAAAATGAAAGGGATCAATGTGGAGAATAAGTTTAGGGAAAAAAATCGACAGGGCAAAATTTATTAAAAGTGTGTGTGCATGCGTGTATGTGTCATGTTTAAAATACAGCAAATGGTTCTTTTGGTATTTTGAGCAAAGCTGATTTTTAACATTTTCTTTCATAACACTCCGAAATCATTAACAATTGTTTGCATATTCATTTGATATAAGTTTTTTTGTGTTCTTTTTTTTGGTTTGTTTCTTTTTGTTGCTTTCTTTTAACATTGGTCATGTTTCACCCCTTTTTTTTTTTCCATTCCCCCTGTCTGCAATCAACTTCTTCATTCCACTAAGGCTGGGCACAGAGTAAGTTTCTTCTCTTAGCTCCTCCTAATAATGGTGGTTGGGTGTCTGATTACTGGGATTTTCACCCTTTTATACTTAGTCAAATAGGAAATAACCAAATTCCTATGCTTTGATTGGGTTGGTTCTTTGTTTGAATTTAACAAGACTGCCATTTCCAGAATCTTTTGCTCTCTTAAAAGCTATGTCTAACCTAAATTGTCAAAGTGTGGAATTTGGGCAAGGGCACTCCTTAAAGTATGACACTTGTTTTGTGACACTATTCCCCTATTACTTTGTCACCTGTAGGAAACCAGAGTCCTAGTTAGGATCTTTACTAATCTGAAATAATTGCTGTGTGGTCATTCATACAGTTATGTATTTTTAGAATGTTGATAGTCTAGGCACATGGGCATAATCCACAGCACACTGGAGAATTTAGGTTGTCAATCATTATAAAGTAGCATGTCTTACTAATGCTCTTTCTGGTTCATTAAGATTGAACAGCTCATTTATTTTTAGCCCCAAACATTTTTAACCTGATACAGATATGTACCCTTTTGTGAGTTTGAGGTTATTCTTTTTTTTAATAAAGAAATGTACTTTTTACCTTTTTCTCAAATACCAGCTTTCCACATTAACTATGTACTTCAATCCATATTTGAAGGGATCCCCCTCTAAAGACGAAGATTGTTCTGTCTCCAGGTACTTTTGTATTGATTACCAATGAAGGTGGAAACTTCATGGTGGTTTTTAGTTTTACAAATGTTTTATCCATCTGGATTGAAACCATATTAAGTCATTAAGCAAATGCCAACTAAAACTACTCTTTATAAAGAGGAACCTTGTTTAACAATTTATTTTAAAATGCGTTAATTTTACTGCAGTTACTCTACTTCCTGATAACAGTTCCTTTCCTCTGTATCACTTTGATATTTGTTGCCAGATCAGTCAAGCTTAGTTTAATAATTATTTGAATTTCACACATTTTTTCCCCTCATGTCCCCCCTCACGCACAATACAGACCGGGCAGAGGCCTGGGCTGAGGTGTATACGGGGTGAGTTTGCTCTGCCCCCTTTCTGGGCAGGCCTTGTGAGAACACAGCCTGTGGTAAGCACCGAGAGGCCACATTTTGTTTTTTATTAATTTCAATTTACAAAGTCGGTGGTGACAACACCATTTTCTGCTCTATTTTATTTTCAATATTTAATGTTTTCTTTGACATTAGGGAATAGTCGTGCCTTTTTAAAAAGCAGTTAAAGGGCACATACATTTATGAATGGGACGTCTGTGTGGGGAAACATGCTGTCATAGAATGAGGGTGCTTATACTTATCAACATGAAGAAATTGATCGTTGTCCTTTGGAGGGCAGATTTTTATTTTTATTTTTTTAAGATTTTATTTATTTATTTTTAGAGGGAGAAGGAGAGGGTGAGAAACATCATGTGAGAGAAACATTGATTGGTTGCCCCTCATATGAACCCTGACAGGGACCTAACCTGAAACCTAGGCATGTGCTCTGACCAGGAATCAAACCAGCTGCCTCTTGCTTTGTGGACTGATGCCCAACCAATTGAGCCACACTGGTCAGGGCAGATTTTTTAAAAATATTTTATTTATTTAGTTTTAGAGAGATGGGAAGGGGGAGAGGGAGGGTGAGAAGAGTCAAGTGTGAGAGATACATTGATCAAGTGCCCCTTGCATGCCCCCATCTGGGGGTCCCAACCACCACCCAGGCACGTGCCCTGAATGGGAAGTGAACCTGTGACTCTTCGTTTCACAGACCCACACTCAATCCACTGAGCCACACCAGCATGGCAAGAGAGCAGATATTATTTTTAAATGACCTTTTTGACAATATCTGTTAAATAACTGAAAAAATGTTTACATGTAAAATCTCAAAAATTAAAATTTTACAGGATTAAGAATTTTTATCATCCGAGACTATGTTCCTCCTGCTAAATTCATCACTTGTTTAACTGACCTCTTTTTTAATGCTCTAATGCACATGACAGATTGTGAAAATGTTATTTTAAGTTTGGAAATTAAACAGAGTACGTAAGCAATTTCATGTAGACAATATATGACAGTGAGGATTTCTAATAATGAAAGAAAGAGACAAAGATTATAATTCAAAAGCATACAGTTGCCCTATTGAAACTTTTTGAAGCATAGGCTGTTTTTATTCTTCTATAATATAGAACTAATAGTTTTAAGTAGCAAATATGGTAAATTTTGGCTATTGTTCCTTAAAATACTTATCAGTCTAGTAAACATAAAGTATAAAATTAACTTTTTCTCTGTCATTACATTTCTAACAGTTCTCTTTATTAATGTCCCTGGAATCAATACATGTTATTTTACATTATAAGTGCAGAAATATGAATTAACGGATCAATCTTCAAAAATTCTAAATTCCATAGGGCCTAGCAATATATTGTCATTTTGTAATTTTGTTATTTAGTATAATTTATAGGTCTGTAAATAAATCTCTTTAGAAAGCTTGACTTTATTCTTGGTAAAAAGAATGATACATATTGTGTGGTATATTTATTTGTGCTCAAATTTAAAAAGATTGATTTAGAACAGAATACATCATTATATATGTGATATGTGTGTTCGTCTAAATGGTCATGATAAGGAATTGTATGAATAACTTCCGCTCTTTCGTGTTCTGGAATCTCTGATTAGTTCAGTTTAAAATGGGAGTTACTAGAAGAAAGTATCTTGTTTTGACATCATGCTTAACATTACACTTTGTCTCACCTTGACACTTTCAAGTTGGTGTTGGTATTAGGAGACCTGCACATCCCACACCGGTGCAACAGTTTGCCCGCGAAGTTCAAAAAACTGCTGGTACCAGGGAAGATTCAGCACATACTCTGCACGGGGAATCTTTGCACCAAAGAGAGCTATGACTATCTCAAGACTCTGGCCGGGGATGTTCATATTGTGAGAGGAGACTTCGATGAGGTGATGTATTTCCCTTTCCTTCCCAGTATTTCCTTTTCTTTCTTCCATTCTTTTTTTTTTTTTGAAAATTTTATTTATTTTTAGAGAGAGGGGAAGGAAGGGAGAAAGAGGGGAAAAGAAACATCAGTTGTCTCTTGCAGGTCCCCAACTGGACACCTGGCCCACAGCCCAGCCATGTATCCTAACCAGGAATCAAACTGGTGACCTTTCAGTTCACAGGCCCAGTGCTCAATCCACTGAGCCACCACAGCCAGGCCCATTATTTTCTTTTCTTGATTTTATGGAGTAAAATTTTTCTCAAAAAAAAATTGCAGAAAAAATTGCTCCACAAATTTTTCTCAACTGTTAAAGATCCTTTTTTATTTTCCAAATGTAAAATTACTACACATACCCCTTCCTGTTTGAAAATCACTGATTTCAGATTGCTTGATAAACATATTAGATACTTGTTCTAACTAAATCAACACAGAGTAAAGTGGTTTTGTCACTATTTTTTATACTACAATCATTCAGTTTATAAATTTTTTGTTAGGAACTTTTCACCACCACCTATACTACTCTGTTCCAAGCACTATGTCACTTTCTTGTATTCCAGCTTCCTGACTCTGCCCTTCCTCCCTCCACAGTTTGTTCTCCAAGGAGCAATTAGATGACCTTTTTAACATGAAGATCAGCTCACTAATCTGTAGAAAACCCCACCGTGGCTCTGTCAGAAGTGTTAACTAAAGGGCTATGAGGAAGTGTTGAGGTCATAGAACTGTTCTAGATCTTCATTGTGGTGGTGCTGACGTGACTGTATGCATTTGTCAAAACCCCTTGAACTGGACACTTTAAAAAGAACAGTTTGACTGTATGTAAGTTATATCTCAATAAACCTGATTTAAAATAAACAGTTTTGGGGGTCCAACTTTACCCATTAATTAGAAGGAAAATTTAGGCAGGTTATGTCCTTTCTGGCCCTAGTTTCATTCTATGTAAATGCGACTGGAATAGATGACTTCTAAGACCCCTGCCAGTACTAACATTGTATAATTTAGAATGATCAATATGATTCTAGCATAAACATTTATGTAGGATTCCTGGAAATACAAGCATTTTCATAATTATTTAACTTCATTGGTACTTTTTAATGGGGGTCCTTTATACCAAACTGAATGACCATAGTGTTGGTTTTGGGTTGTTTTTCCCAGTGGATTTTAAGAAGTTTGAGTAAATTAGACGTGGCACAGAGGTGAAAGATAAGGGAATGAGAAGGGAAGGGGCAAACTTCTTGTCAGTTATGAGAATATAGGTCTGCTTTGTTAAAAACAATAGGGGTTCTGTTTGTGTTATGCTCAAGACAGTTTCAGTACCAAGAACTCAAATTTTTGCTATAAATTTGCTAAAGTTACAGACCCTGGAATCATGTACCAGAGTTTAGATCTTGGCTTAACAACTTGGTAATGGTTGTTAACCTCAGGTTATTTTAACCTCAGTTTTAACCAGGCCTCAGTTTTTTTCCATCCATGAAATGGGGGTCAGAATAGAACCTACCCCTTAGGATTGTTTGTCAGTATTTGGTAGGTTGACATTTATAAAGCCCTTAGAATAATTTGTGATCCATACTAAGTACTATGTGTTTTAACTATCTTCATTTTTCAGCCATCTATATAACTGTTAAAACCTGCAGTGTCATTTAAACTCACCGTAGCTTACAGGTCATATGCCCAGGATTCTTAGGTAGAGGAACTCCAAATTTGGGGGACTAATCATTTTCTGCAGCGTGCTCAAAGTAATCTGTATGCTATAAAAATAAACACAAGAAGAGACTGCATGGAAATTCCAGATATGTTTTGAGCATAGTTACAGCCTTAGAGACTGAGAAGAAATCAGATATTTAATCAATATGTTGGTCGTGGACCAAAAAATCCATGAGATAAAATATTTAAAAGCAGGTTTATTTGTTTGTTTGTTTGTTTGTCTGCCCTGGTCTGGTGGCTCAGTTAGTTGGAACATCATCCCATATACCAAGAGGTTGTGGGTTCGATCCTAGTTCGGGCGCATGCCTATGCTGTGGGTTCAATCCCCAGTCATGGTATGTATGGGAAGCATCTGATCCCCATTCCTCTCTCACGATGTTTCTCTCTCTCCCTCTATCTCTGAAATCAGTAAACATATCCTCAGGTGGGGCTTTTAAAAAATAAATAAAGGCAGGATTTTTGAACACTGGTATCTCTAAAACTTATTTTCCTTACATCAATTTTGTACTTTAGAATCTGAATTATCCAGAACAGAAAGTTGTGACTGTCGGGCAGTTCAAGATTGGCCTGATCCACGGACATCAAGTTATTCCATGGGGCGATATGGCCAGCTTAGCCCTGCTGCAGAGGCAGTTTGATGTGGACATTCTTATCTCAGGACACACACACAAATTTGAAGCATTTGAGCATGAGAATAAATTCTACATAAACCCAGGTTCTGCCACTGGAGCGTATAATGCCTTGGAAACGTACGTAGTATGTCATTTGGGAATTTGGGGGGGTTATAAATTTAATAATTTCACGTGTGATTGCATTAAACATGCAACCATTTAAATAATTATAGCCTTTTTGGTGATTATTATTTTTAATATGTAACAACCAGATTTCTCCTGGAATCCAAATTGTCATCTTAAATTGAAATTTACAGTGCTACTGCTTTCTAGTGTACAACACTGACATTATTTATATTTTCTTCCAGAAACATTATTCCTTCATTTGTGCTGATGGATATCCAGGCTTCAACAGTTGTCACTTATGTGTATCAGCTCATTGGAGATGATGTGAAAGTAGAACGAATCGAATACAAAAAATCGTAAAGCCAGGCCTGTCTTGATTTTTGTTTTTTCTTTTTTTTAATTCCCCTGTTCAAATCAAAAGTAATTAAACATTTAAGAGCCACAAAATTGTATCCCTTTTATAATATTTTGCAGTAAAATACATCGTCTTCTGTTAATACGATGTTCTAAGCTTCTTGTAAACTATTCAGAATTTTATTTAGTTTAAGTATATGATTTCTATGAAAAAATGTCCACCACACAGTAAATGGTCACATGTTAAGAAAAATTTATCCTTGTAAATATCTTCAAAGTTGATATTTAGGACTTTATTACAAAAGTAGTGCATGAGGAAAAAGAATCTGGACTTTTCCTGTATACATTTTTCTCTTCTCCAGGAATAAAGTTACCTTTCAGTTACACTTTCTTGACACACTTTCTTGTTTTGCATTTTAAAAACCATGAAAATGAGAGATCAGATGCAACTGTGGACAAGGATTGAAGTGATGGGATGGACGAGATGCCCTTTCAGAGCGTTCTTGTTTCTTACAACATCCTGAATCATAACGCTGAACTCGGAGTTCACTTTCCAAATAAGGTACCATAGGGACAGAGTAAATCAGCAGAGATTCTTCAGACGGCTGCTTTAAATTGCCCTCGTCCTGCCCTGGCTGGTGTGGCTCAGTGGGTTGAGGGCCAGCCTGTAAACCAAAAGGTTGCTGGTTTGATTCCCAGTCAGGGCCCGTGCCAGGGTGTCCGGCCGGGTCCCCAGTTGGGGGTGTGCAAGAGGCATCTCTCTACATTGTTTCTCTTCCTCACTTTGTCCTTCCCTTCCCCTCTCTCTAAAAATAAGTAAATAACATTTTAAAAACTTCCCTATTCCTACTTTTCAAGTTTGAACAAAAAAACTCTTTTGAACACTAATGTTTAGGAGGGAAGAATAATGCAAAGAATCCTCTCATTATTACATCTGTTCTCTAGTGTGAGAGGCCAGGTGTTTCGGTGGCAATTTTCATAAAATAGGGCAAAGGGCAAATTAAAATTTCCATTTTTAAGTTGTATTCAAGCAGCAAATGTTTATTAAGCATCTTCTTTGCAAGCCAGGCTGTTACCTCTATTAAATGCTATGCTGTATTAGAATATTTCAAGAGTTTTCCTCAACCCATTCAAGAAAATACTTGTCAGATATTCCAGTGTTGATGTTTTAGGACGTATTGTAAACAGAAAAAGAATTATTTGACGTATTTGTCAGATTTAAAGAAAAAATAATTCCGTTTATGTGTCAAAATTTTTAATTGTATCAAGCTAGAAATAAAAGCATTATTACACATAGACTCTATTACACAAATATCATTGGAACACAGAACTATATCAAACCAATTACATTGCTATAAAAGTTTCTGAACAAACTAAAATTATTTAATGACTTAATGGTGTATAACAACAATATCCTAAATGTAGAGGGAGGATGCAATTCCAATCCCCACCCCTACCTTTGGCATTTCAATACACAAGACAAGGTCAAGTTAGCATCAGATTTTCTCCCCGTTCTTCAATTGACATTGACTGCATACACTTACTTAGTAAATCTTCCTTTTTTTCTTCATTCATGTATGATTCAAAATCATTTGCAGAAACTGAAGACAACAAAAAAGAGTTGGAAACAAAATTATTTTATCCTGAACATTGAAATTTGTATATAAGAGCAACCTTCAAAATGACCTACCTTGATAAACATTTAGCAAAAACAGATTGCCTATAATTTTCAAAACTTAGTAACACCCCCTTCCCCCAAATCTTACTTTTTAAAATAAGATACTCAGTATTGTATTCCAGCCAAGTTATTATACAGCAAGTTCTCTAAGTCCTATTTTCCCTTTGCTTTTTGCAATCCTGGTTAGAGGGAAGTTAGTTTCAGCATTCTCCATGTTTTTTCATTTCCTTCTCACCTCTCTTGGGGACCACAGGGACCTTTCCCCTACCTGGGGCTTCCTTTATTCTTTTTGGAACCAGACTCACCTTCAGCCCTGCCATTTCCCTCACTTCTTTGATAGGCCCATGATGGCATTCGGAGCAGAGCTGAGTGGTGCTGTCTCGTAGCAACCAGGTACCAGTTCAGAAGGCCTGACCTCCCCATTTCCTATCCCCTTCCCTACTCACTGCAGTGGTAACTAGAATGTTACTTCCACTTTGTTCTTTCCACTTTATCAATTCTGAGGAAATCTTCTGAGCATTTGGTCCTTCCTCCTTTCTTTTCCATTTTGTGGTATTCTGTGATGGCGGCAGGCAGGTCCTTTATGTGGATCCTTCCTGACCCTGGGTTGGTCTGAGTTGCTCTGGCACCTGCTTGGCTTGCACCTCCGCTGGTTTGTTGAATATTACAATGGTATCAGTGGTATCAGCCCTTCGTACCTTAGTTGATGCTACATAAAATATGTTGTCCATCCAAAAATGACACTACTTCATAAAAGAAGTGCTATGGCTTGAAAAAGTCATGTTTTTGTGAATCTGGGTTTCAAGAAATGTTCTGTTAAGTCTCTGACCTTGCTATTATATCTTTATTTAGAAATTATAAATACCTTGAATCTTACTCCTCTGAGCAATGTGTTCTTTTAAATGAGAGAAGAAATATATTTCATGTTTAATTTTGTTTGGAGCAATAAAGGCAAATCGCATTCTAAATTTTCAACGTCTTCTGTAATAAAAATGAATCTAAATTGGGTTAGTATTTTTAAGCATAAGATGTTTAAAAATGCACTTTTTAATTACACATTTACCTGATTGCATGAACAGTCTTCCTGTTTTTCTAAAAATCTTCAGTGACTTATATCGTGTTTTAGACATATGTCCAGTTTTTAGTCTATAAGAAAGAGAAGCATCTTAATTGGAACCTGCAAAGTGAACAGCTGCCTAATACATGTGGAAGACCACACCAATTCTCTTTATTAGGCTGCCAGCATCACCAGAGACCTGTTCAGCCCCCAGATTCTCCTGAAATGCAAGGCTAACTATTGTGCAGGTTGAATAATTAGACTTCTTTTTCCTCTCTTTTTTGTTTACAGAATTCCCCTGTGTGGAAGCAACCATATGCTTCTGCTTTTGGAAGTGTTTGTATTTGAATTTCAGTGGGAATCACTGCAAAGGGCAGTCTTCCATATCTCCAGCTGGTCAAGAAATGTTGATAATTCCACAAAATAAGTTCTAAAAGATGCGGCATACCCCAGTCAGCTCAGTCAAGTGACTATAAGATACCCTTTGGGCTTTTTGTCCAACCTATTCTGAACTCAGCAAGTGAACATAATAGGGATCACAAGCTTTGATACCATTGAGCTACCCTCCAAATAAAATTAGGTATTTTCCTCCTTTTAAACAACAGGAAACAGACCCTCCTTTGTTTCTCACTGGTCGCCACAGGGAATGCTGTTTTGCAGGTGCAGGGGCAGCTGCAGTGTTGGAAGGCCCTGAGTCCTCTCTGTCCAGCTGGTGTCGCCATGTGGTACAGAGGTAATGCTGCCTCTGTGAGTGATGGGAACTGAGGCGGCTCCCGTGATGAGTGAGGACACCTGTCATACAAATGACCTCCGTTAGAAGACCCTCTCATCTCTTGTGACAACTAGTCAGAAACTAACGGCAGGTGCACCTGCCTGGCTTTTGAGAGTTGTGTTGGACCATATGCACGTACTGCCTCTTCATCAACACCCTCAGGTTGTTCACGTTACAGATCTTAGTGATGCTGCGCAGGTAATGCTTCTGGCATTTGGCAAGGTCTGGATGCTGAAAGAAGAGCAAGACTTATGAAGGTTTTCATCTGAAAGGACGAATGTCCAACAGAGTTGTACATCTGTACATTTTTGTTGTACATTAAGCAAATTCAATTATGTTAATTTGGCCAAAAAGAGAAAGAAAGAAATGGCCATTTAAACAGTACAAGTAACTCTGCTTGCCATTTCCATTTAAGGGATTCACATGCCCTGCAAGGTTTGAGAACTACTGCCCTAGAAGAATAAGGAAAATGTGAATCTGCTATTTTGTCAGTGAGCCTTTCGTGTGCGTGATGCATCTTTTTTAAAAACTGAATTTATGGTGATGACATTGGTTAGTAAAATTATATAGGTTTCAGGTGTACAATTCTATCATACATCATCTGTATAGTGTACTGTGAGCTCACCACTCCAAGTCAGTGAGTCTTGATTCCGTGTGGCTCTCTGTGAGTGTGGGCATCTCACCTTCCATGTAATGTAGAATATAAAAGCAACCCAGTTACTCTTGGTTTTTCTGAAGGAACAGTCTCTTCTAGCACCAGAAGGAAAACTGTATTGGACAGACTGCAGGATAGTCTGACGGTCTCTGATATAAGTAATTTCCACTAAGATCGTCACTGTACTTGCTGATTTTAGAGGTTAACACTTGCCTAAAATGCGAGATTCCACTCCATATGCATATATGCAAACAATATATATATATACACAAACAGGACTTACAGGACACACAGGATGGGTAATAATCCAGGGAAAATTCAAACTGTTGGCCAGAAAAATCTTTACCAGTTGGTACAAATCTTTAGTAAGCCCCCTTCATTTTGTGTGGCTCTGAAGAGGACACTCTGGCAGCTACGTACGGTTTTTAATGGGTAACAGAGGACAACAGTTGTGTTAAAGGCTTACTGCCATTTACTTGCTTGCTTCTAATTTTGTAGTCCTCGAACAAAATCTTTATGAGGTCTGGTTTCCATCTCTAGAGTGGAACTTTCCTCAAGCATCTTTATGCTTGGGGTATGGATACATCAGATCTGAAGTATCATAAATCCCTTATTGTTATGATAAGGAATCTATAATGATTCATTCATTCATGGGTTTACCCAACAGTTACATATGGATTCCTATACAGTATGCTGGGTGCACCTAGTCTTCTGCAGTGCCTTACCCTCTAAGTCAGCAATTTTCAGTGTGCCACTAGAGTATTTAAAACATGCAATACCCAACGACGTAGTCAGGGGCACTGGCCTCTTTTCCCTTAGATTGCCAAATAAAAAACTGACCACAGCCAGAAAAGCAATAGCCATCTGGTGGGAATGAATCAAAATTATACTTATTTTTTTGTTAGATTGGCGAAAAGTATATTTTTTGATGTGCTGCAGAATTTTAGTAATTAGTTTGTGTGTGCCATGAGATGAAAAAGGTTCAAAATCACTGCTCTACATAGCTTATATTCAACAAAAAGTTCAGCCCTGCCCTGACAGGTGTGGCTCAGTGGGTTGGGCATTGGGGCAAAACGCAAGACTGGCAGTTGGATTATGGGTCAGGGCACATGCCTGGGTTGCCCGGTTCAGTCCCTGGGGACACACATGATTGATGTTTCTCTCCCTTTCTTTCTCCCTCCCTTCCTCTCACTCTAAAAATAAATATAATCTTTTTAAAAAGAAAGTTCAGCTCTCAATACAAACACAATTGGTATTTAAATGAAGTACTGGTGGGTAGTTAGCATACCTTTAGAAAGGACACATCTGTAGTTGACTTAGGAATGTGAATTGTCTGAGTTTGAGGAGTTTTCCATAACTCTTGTAGCTTGACTATGTGAGAGTTCATTTTGTGTCCATCTTTGATTCCATCTGTAGGTAAGGACATTATTGTGTGACTTTCATGAGAAAGATCCGTTCAACAAATAATTAAGTTCTGTGTATTTACATGTGTCAATTATTCTGGGGCAGTGGCATGAATCACTGTTAAATATGAAGAGACTATATGCTATGCCATTTGGTTGTAAAGCTCAAAACTCTAAGATATGTATAAATATACTTACTGTATATTTATCATTATATATGGACTACATTTACTTTGAATTCAGCTGAGATGCAAACTCATGTGTTTTTTTTTTTTAGTTTATTGTCTGTCAGATCATACTAAACAGGAATATACATGCAGGATTTGCACTTTAAAGAGTTATAACAAAATTTTATCATTCACTTAACTTTAGTATTTAGTTTAAAAATTCTACTCTGCCCTGGCTGGTGTAGCTCAGTGGATTGAGCACGGGCCTGCGAACCAGACAATCGTGGTTCGATTCCCAGTCAGGGCACATATAGGGGTTGCAGGCCGGTTCCCTGCAGGCCAGTTCCCAGCAGGGGATGCATGAAAGGCAACCATACATTGATGTTTCTCTCTCTCTCTCCTTCCCTTCCCCTCTAAAGATAAATAAATAAAATCTTAAAAAAAGAGTTATAAAAAAAATTCTACTCTGTATTATATCAAGATAGAATTATACCAATTTAATCCCTTTAATGACATACAGTGTTAAAATAAAGAGCTCTGCAGAAATTTATCAAAACTATTTTTACATAATTTCAGTTATCACATTGTTTTAAATGCTGATGTGGGCTGATTGAAAGGATAATCTTTCAATAAAAATGAAAGTTGAGACATCTTCCCAGAAGAATGGGAACTAGTTTTCCGTTTCAGACACACTGAGACCAGTAACTTAATTGAGGGTCTAAACTTCAGTAGCAATTAGGGGGAAGGCCATATCTGGCAAAATTTAATCAGGAAATAACTCTTTGTAACACTTCCCTTCTCCCCACCCCTCCCACAATTGATGTGCCATCACTATAAATTAGTTCGCATTTTCTTGAGTTTGACACAAATGGAAATGTACAGTATATGTTGGTGTTTTATCTGGTTTGGCTTTTTAGCTCAACAAAATTAGTTTGAAATCCATCCATGGGAGTATAATGATAGTTCATGTTTATTGTTGGGTTATATTCCATTGCACGTACGTATAAACCACAATTTGATTCTACTTCTACCCGTAGATGTTTCTACAGGGCTGTTTCCAGTTTCGGGCCACTACAGATAAAGCTGGCAAAACAGACTTTAAATGAAAAGCTTTTACTTAGTAAAGTAAATTAATTAAGCACAGTTTTGTTTCAATATTATTGACAACAAAGGCCACTATGATTTTACATATTAAACTTAAAATTTAGTTATTTCTTTAAGATTTGGGCAAATCAGATATTGCTAACTAGTTTGCCAACAAATAGAAAATCAGGTGGAAATTGGTATTATGGCTCTTAAATCATAATTCAGAAACTACAATAAAGTGAATATCAACTGAAGATTTCAAAAGTTTACTTTTTAAAATTCTTTTTCAAGTCATAAATGTGGGCTAATTATCTAGAAATACATCTTTGATGCCCTTGATAATAAATATTTCTGAGATGCATATCATAGCCTGGTCTAACCCCCTTAACTTCAGCAGCTCTATCCTTCACTCCAAGAGAGAGGGAAACAGCAGCACTGAGAAATATTTTACATTCTCTGAAGTTGTTCAATTAAAAGTTTTTCTGTCAGTTTGTATATAAACCCCAGGTTGTCCTCTGTGCTTCTCAACCAAAATCAGTTATAAACAGTTCTCAGATTCATTGGTATTTTGAAATATTGTTTTTAAATTGCTTGATGTAAGATATCTTAAAGAGAGACAAAGAATCTGCTGATTGTTCTCTGAACAATCTTGAAGACTAAGTTCACCAAGGGATACTAATAACACCTATTTTTAAAACTCCATTGTGTGAGTAGTTACAGCAAAATTGGCTTCTCTGAACCATGTTATTTATAAATATTATCTGCTTTATGATGCTCTACTCACCAGTACCTTTGGAATTCTGGTAATAAGAATGCCCAGCTGATCTGTTAAAAAAGAAAGAGAGAGAGAAAGAAAGAAAGAAAGAAAGAAAGAAAGAAAGAAAGAAAGAAAGAAAGAAAGAAAGAAAGAAAGAAAGAAAGAAAGAAAGAAGGAAAGAAAGAAAGAAAGAAAGAAAGAAGGAAGGAAGGAAGGAAGGAAGGAAGGAAGGAAGGAAGGGAGGAAGGAGGAAGGAAGGAAGAAGAAAGAAAGAAAAAGAAAGAAAGAAAGAAGAATGTAAATAATAGGTAATAACTGACAGCTTTATAAGCATTAAAAATTATTTTAAATGAAAAAAGAACAGCATTGCATATGCTTTATATTTTTCATCAGAAAGAATGTTTGGCAAATTTTCTCCTATAATTCTGGTTATGTCCTAATGGCTCCAGACTTATTCAAAGTGAGTTATCTGAGGTTTTTTACCATATTAAACATATTGAACAGGTTTGGTCTTACTTTTATATCCTCCTAACCTACTGTAGTTCCTACACTGATTTCAATAAAGTAGTTTGGGCTTCTGTGCTATCCAGAATATGTTCTTGCTGTCTTTGCTTTTAAAGAAGTAATTTGGCTATGGAAAAGACTATCTTGTAATTTATTATATGTAATTAAGGTGTACTAGAACTAACTTAGTTTAGCATATTTCTAATTTTGTACAGTTTCTTTTTCCTTACTCAAATTAACACATCCTTCCTTCCTGCCTCCTTCAATCTATCCAATGAGCAAGAGTTCATTTATCTCCTAATATACTAGGATCCTGCACTTCACTAAGCACTGTGATGAACAGAAAAGAAACACAAGACCATATATCTAAAAAAAAAAAAAAAAAAAAAAAAGGCCATGAGCGCAGCCGGAGCCATGGCTATGAGGTGAACCGGAGAGGAACAGCTCGGGAACAACTGATGAGAGGGAAGAGGAGGCACTGCCTTCTGCAGTGACTTCAGCAACTAATTGTCTTCCGCATCCGGGAAATAATAGTAAAAACCTGCTCAAAATAAAGTAGGCTTATGAAGAAAGAAACTTCTGTATGAAGAAAATGTCAAGATCAAGTGTCTCTAATCTCCATAGTCATGTTTCATTGACGGTTATGAATCCTCACTTGACATAAAGGTGGGTAATGTCACACTCAGGGAACTGATTTATCCACTTGTTAGCCCTCGGCTGAGCAGGGGACTCTATGGCAGTCTCCCGGTCTCCCTAACCAGGGTTTATGTAGAGGTCTGGTGGCCAGACCGCAATTTTTCCAGCAGGTTTCGCAGCGCCCCCTCGGGGCAGAAAGATGTATTCGGGTGACTGTCGCCGTCACCGCCTACTCACTGCCACAAACGCTCCTCCTCTGAAGCTCTTCCCTTAAACAATGAGTTGGCTTCCGTATTAACCACAACAGAGGTTCTCCCCCGCCTCTCGCTTCAGTGCAGAGGGAACCTGTCGCTTTAAGCAGCCACCTCCCGACCACTCCCCTACCAGGTGCAAGGCACCCCCGGGGCAGGTAGTCGTCCCCCCTACCGTTAGGGCCCCACAGCCTCACCCGCTGTCACAGCTCTCCCTCCCAGCCACTGCAGGTGGCTCTGCGGGAGAGCAGCAGTCCGACCCGGCGGACTCCGGACCCTGGCCGGGCATCTCGTCCTGGGTGCAGCGATTGCGAGCTGTGTGCGAGTAAATCTTTCCCTTCTTTCCCGCCAGGATTAGCACGTGTGCGTCAGATCGGGTGATCTAGGGGGTGAAGAGGCGGGCGCCAGATTCTAGCCCCCTCCGGTGCGCACCGGACACCGCCGGAATAGGTTCGAGAGAGCTGGGAGGGCAGATTCACGATCCCGGAATTAAATTGGGAGAGGGGAGGAGGTTGTTTAATTGACTGCGCGTTCGCGGAACAGTCAACTACTAAACTGTTGACTGTTTTTGTGGAACAGATGCGTCAAGGAAAGAAAATATACATGCTCCCTTAAACAGGAAGTGCCTTCCACAGTATTCCAGACTGCAAATCTTGAGTGTCACTATGTGGGTCAAACATCAGTGCGCAAACCAAAGACCAAAGCACCCGGCGCAGGAATGCTGGGTATTATCTGTTAACAGTTATCACCAAAATAAGGAGGCTTCGCGGGTCTCTTAACGGCCGGCTTCCGCCAGCTGTTAATATTTCCGTGTACGCGTTCAACTTCCCTTCTCTTCCGGGCTTTTTTTTCAGAACGCGTTTACACACGATTTGACCTGCGGGATGCTCCGTAGTCGGAGGGGTGGGTTGAACAGAATACCAAGACGGAGTTTGGATTGTGATTGGTCCGTACTTCGTGTTTCCGGAACTCGAGTCGTCCCGCGAAGGCTGGAGGGAGCTTGGCCGTCTGTCTCGCGGTAGTGAATGTGCTGCGTGCGGCCCTGGGAACGCGGACATGCCTCGGTATGCCCAGCTGGTCATGGGCCCGGCAGGCAGCGGGAAGGTGAGGATTTGGCAGAAAAAGGAGGGAAACATCGGAGTTCATGGGAAGCCGGGGGCTCGGATCCTACGGAGCTGCTGAGGCTCGGAACCTCGAGACGCTGGGCAGCTCGTTTCTGCAGCCTGAGCTGCAGAAGCCTGAGCTTCAAGCTCCTGTTGTTTTGAAAGGGAGTAATGATAGTTGATAATGTCCGTTGTATACATCCCCTACATACCGCACTGAACGCCTCATTTATTTTCACAACAACCGTCTGAAAATAAGCCCTGTTATTTCCATTTTACAGATAAAGGAGACGTGGGTTCTTTGCCCAGGATCACAGCTAGTTAAATGGCGTCTGGAATCCAGTTTTGTTTAATTACCGAATCCGGCCCTGTCTAGCTGCCAGGGGTCTCGTTAATCACTGTTTCTCAGACTTTGAAACATAGACTTCTGGTATTTGAAGCGAGGTGCATGGGCCTGACATTAATGTACGTTGAACCACTTATTGGAAAAGTTACTCCCTTCTCGATTGTCTTTCAGTTTACAATGAGGTGAAATTGTTGGCTTGATGCTTGTGTTTCTTCGACACTTATTTAAATCTCCAGTTCTTTTCAGATCTTAGCCTCAGAGCTTTTGACAAGCATTTACAGTATACTTACCTAGAACAAAAAGAGTTGTGAAGTTGCATTCAATTTCATGGTTACCTTCGTGTTCGGACACGAAGTCCGAACAACTGGTTTTGTGTTTACAAGAGGGACACAATTTTTGCTTGTAAACAAATATTAAGGGAATAATATAAGAGGTGTTCAAATGTGGCAGAAATGGTGAAGATATGGTCAAATAACTGGAGTGTGGAAAACACTCAAGTCTGTGGGAGTGCTGTGTGGCTTCAGTCTTTAAATTAACACATTGTTCTGAGGTTTGCCCTAAACTGGGTGCAGGAGCTATACATACGTGTAGCTGTGATAAGGCACTTGCCTACCCAACATGTATGTGTAAAGCACTGATGAGAAAGCAAGATAGAGGTTATTTTTGTATTCTAGATTGCTTTTTTAGACTGATCATGTTAGAAAGTATCTTTCTATAAATTTTTGATGCTGAGCTGTCAGAAAATCTCACTGAGCCTGATCCTTGTGCCAAGCACTGTTCTGGGCCCTGAGGACTATGTTGTTAAACAGAGCACACAAACATCTGTACTCTTGTGTGGAGTTTGGAATCAAACATTGAGTCAGTCAGTGAGAAATAATTACCAAGCATTTATTTTGTACCAGGTACTATGCTAGTCCCTAGATCTACAAAACTGAATACAACACGTCCCTATCTTTACATAGAAGGGGGAGAGAAGACAAGTAGCCTAGAGGTTTTAACACAGTGTGATCACCAGTGATAAAGGATTCTCTCAACCAAAAGTTGCGAATCCACAGCCACCTCTGTGCTGTTTATCGATCTCAGTGTTCTCTCACCTTGGAATGTTCTTTCTCTGGCTTGGCAAGCACATTCCCATTCCTCTGCTCCAGCATCCCCTCCTCAGAGACACCATCTCTGATCACCCTGCCTATAGCTTTGTTTGGGCAGTGCAAGTCCTAGTGGAGACTCCATGTGTTAGGTGCTGCAGTATGTAACTGGAAATATTCTCTTTAATTTTGCTTGTTGCATGGGAGGGCGGTAAGGAGCCTCATTGGTCATGGAGGTCAACGCAGATAGAGATAAGGAAATTGAGGGGCAGAGTGAAGAACCCGTGTCCCAAAGTTACCCCTGAGTCCGAGCTAGTCTGGATCCATAGCCAGTCAGGCGTCTTGACTCCCAAATCAGTGCCTTTTCTGTTTTCATTCATTCTCTTGGCTGAGGAGGGCCTAGTTTTGTCCTTACTGGACACTGCCTGAGGGGTACAGAGAGTCATTCTGGGGTTGCAAGAGGTAACAAACAGTGCTGTTGCCCTGACCCCTTGTGCCTTGTGACATTGCAGAGCACCTACTGTGCCACCATGGTCCAGCACTGTGAAGCCCTCAACCGGTCGGTTCAAGTCGTGAACCTTGATCCTGCAGCAGAACACTTCAACTACTCCGTAATGGCTGGTGAGTCCTAGGCAGAGCCTTCCCGCTCCCGCAGGGAAAATAAGGGGGTGAGGAGGCACAGGGTGCTGGCCGCTCAGCGCAGAAGCTAAGGAATTATTACATCTGGTCCCCTGGTTTCACGGTGAACAGCATGAGTTCACATGTCATTTAATGACATCAGTTTTTGTTGATGTGTGTGACAGTATCCTTTCTCGTTCTCTTATGTATAAAGCAAAAGTAAGTAGATGCCTTCCTCTCCCTTCCCTTCTGCCCCTTTCATGCTTGGTGCCGTGCCTGTGAGTCTGGTTTACTGCTGCTCATACTCCAAGTTGGCCACCTAAATGATTTTTTAAAATTCTTTTAATATATTCATTCAGATGTCTGTGAAACAAGGCATAACTATACCTGTCTTCATGTGCCTTTTAGTACATTTTAGGGGGAGATAAGCAACCGTCAACCATTTACAGATTGTGATAAGGACTGCCTGTCGGCTGAGGAGAGGGAGTAACTGGGGGAGATCTCTTACGGCGGTGTAGGCAGGGATGGCGTTGGGCCCAGACCTGAAGGTGGTAATGTGCTCACCAGGCTGGGGGAAGGCCTTCCGAGATGAGGGGACATGAAGGTCACTAAGTAGCCTAGAGATGGGAAAGGGTATTCCAGAAAAAGCATGTTGAAGCCCTGGCTGGTCTAGCTCAGTGAATTGAGCGCAAGTCTGCGAACCAGAGGATCGCGGTTCCATTTCCAGTCAGGGCACGTGCCTGGGTTGCAAGCTGGTTCTCTGCAGGCCCGTTCCCAGCAGCGGATGCACTAGAGGCAACCATACATTGATGTTTCTCCCCCTCGCTCGTCCCCCTCTAAAGATAAATAAAATCTTTAAAAAAAAAGCATATTGAGTGAAAGAAAGAAATGAGTAGGAGCTGGTGGTTTAGGTTTGGGGCAGTTTTCTTTGCACTTACTAAGTTTCAGGTGTCTGATATCAAGAGGCAATATCAGGGAGCTAATTAGATGTGATAGTTTGGGATTCAGGGATGAGGTCAGACGTGAAGATACAAATTTGAGGGCCAGCAGTATAGAGATGGAGCAGGACTGGTTGAGATCACGTTGGGACGTGGTATACTTAACCCAAGACCAAGCCTTGAAGTCGTCTAATCTTCAAAGGTTGGGTAAAGGAGGTAGAGTCAGTAAAGTAGCAAAAAAAGTCAGGAAAGCCCTGGCTGGTGTGGCCGAGTGGATTGAGCACTGACATGTGCACTGAAAGGTGGCTGGTTCAATTCCCAGGTCCCCATTTGGGAGCGTGTGAGAGGCAACCAATGGATGCTTCTCTCTCACATTGATGTTTCTCCCCTTTCTTCCCCTCTCTCTAAAAATAAACTACCACCTTTAAAATAATTAAAAGTCAGGAGAATGTTGCATCACAAAAGCCAGGAGGAGAGAATGTTTCAAGAAAGCGTTGGTGGTTGGTTATGTCAGATGCAGCCGGGAAGTTGGGGACCTGGAGCTGTTGGCATAGGAAGGTTAAGTAGCTTCCCTAGGTTCTTCATGTTAAGAAGTAATAATTGGTTCTCTTGGTTTGGTTTTGTTTTACTTGTTATACAAGAGGTATTACATGTTTACATGGCTCAAAATGCAAAAGGTACAAAAGAGGCAGTCTCCTTTGCAGCTCTTGTGTCCCAGCAGTCGGCTCTCCTCCCAGGAGGCAGTCAGTTGCCTCTCTCCGGGGTGCCTTTCCATAAAGAATCTGTGTACAAAATCAAAACGTGCATTACTGTGTATATATCGTGAGTCTTTCTCTTGTTTTTAAACACAAGCGATGACATTCTTACAGAGTTCTTAACACTTTTCACTGAATGGTGGTGTACCTGGGAGGTTGTATCGTGAATCAAGTGCTTAAGAGCTTTTCCTTTTCGTGGCTGCGAGAGATTCTGTGGTCTGGCTGTGTGATAACTTAATCAGTTCCCACGGGCACTACTGTAGTGAATAGCCATGTATAGAAATAACGTCATACGTTTGAGTTTTTCTATAATTGTTCATTATCACCAGTGAGGATAACAGTTTTCAAATGGACACTCCTCTGTTGTGGGTCCTGCCTCTTTTTCAGATATCCGGGAACTGATCGAAGTGGATGACGTCATGGAGGATGATTCTCTGCGGTTCGGTCCCAATGGAGGACTGGTATTTTGCATGGAGTACTTTGCCAATAATTTTGACTGGCTGGAGAGCTGTCTTGGCCATGTAGAGGACGACTACATCCTTTTTGACTGTCCAGGTAGGTCAGAAATTTGAAGGTGTCATTTGCCTTGATGTCATGCTGGTTCTGTCCCCAGCGAGGGAAAGTGGAGTGAGCCTTCGTAGCTCTAAGCTATATACCCTGCAGTAAGGTACAAAGCTCTTACGCATTGGCTCTTACTCATTCATTGAGTTTATTGCATACTTAACTTTGTGCCCTGGGAATGCCATAGAGAGCCAGGCAACCAGGATCTATGCCCTCAAGGAGCTCACAGTCAAGTGTCAGTGCTGGACAGTATAAACAAAAGTCACCAAATGATTATTTAATATTCATTGGTGACAAGTGCCCCACAGGAGTAGATAGCCCATCATGCAGCGGGGAGGTTAAGGGAGGCTTCTGGTCTGGTGGCCTGTAAGCTGTGCCATAGGGTGAAGGGGAGGGACACTGTGGTCCAGGCAGCAGTCACAGCATGT